AATATAGATAGGCGTAAGGAATAGAGACTTTTCCGAGATTTTCCGCGGTGATATGATGTTTTTTTTGCTCAGTCGGACTCCTAGGAGACTCTGGAGTAGGTTTCAGCCCCGAAACCGAATGGACATGCAACAGTTTTCCCTTGCAAAAATCATCTCATCATTGTAGGTATGGATTTCTGGGCGTCCTAAAAAAACGAGGAATTTTCGGAGACTATTCGAGAATATCAGAGGGGGGGGGGGTATTTTTTTGGAGGTGGAAAGCGTTATTGTCTATTGTAGAAGGGATGTGGATAGTAGGAAAGGAGTAGGCGTTGAAGACGTATGGTCCGCGGCACCCGGGCCCAGTGTGCGGCGGAGCGCCGTATCTGGGTGTCGCGGCCATTGTAGTTGACGGCCGTTGTAGCTAAATTCATTCCAGTTTTGCACTTTCCTTTTCAGTTGTTGCTTTTTTTCGTGTTACGTGTTGTACCAAATAATTATTCTCGTGAAAGATCATGGGAATTCTCGTAAGTTTGGTCCTATTTTTTCAAATTCAATCATCTCCACTGTCATAGTTTTCTAGGGGACTTTCACTGTGGAGGAGTTTGATAGGTTATTTTCACCCACCTGCTTTCTTGAATAATCCTCATTTGTTCAAGTTACTCAAGTCCAATTTCACATTCAGGATAAAAGACACCAAGCATGCACATTTGTAAGTCGATCAGTTTCCATCTCTGGGTACTGATAGTGAATTTGAGTGCCGTGCAAACATCGGCAGAATCTGTAACAACAAACTAATAAAACGCCACTGCGTGTACGAATGAATGTCTCTGGTTGTTTCCTTTCTAAATTTACCTTTTATAGATCATTGATAGAGTGTACCCTGCTGAAAAAAGTACAGACAATTTCATTCGCTCATTCTACTGATTGAGGCGGGGCCTGAGGATTGGTGCCCCATCGTCAGGAATGGATACAAATTGCTCTTATTTCATCCGCAAAATGCAAGTATTATCAGCACCAATTGCAAATCATATTTCGCATATTGCAAGTACCTTAGCTATCTTCTCTGCTGTGGATGATGCATTTTCCAAACCAATGACTTCTTCGTTAGCGTACCTGGTACGTTAGGAACCAACTTTAAGTGGGTGCTGTCTCTTTCCTCATGGGAGAGCCTCAGCCTTATCAACTCCTATTTTTAGGTAGAGTAAATCACATTTGTCTTATCAACCCCTTTTTTTGGCGCTGGAATTTTGAAATTGATGGTACTTGCAGGGAAGACAACAACTTGATCGTTGTGATGTAATTTTCCATGATCCTAAAGAAAAGCAACCAATTTCAATGGCTAAAATTTCGAAAAAAATAGAGATCAACACTTTTACGATTAGTCAGAATCAGGAGCTTTGGTCACTTATTTTAATTATTCAATAATCAATACACAGTGTATTGCGTGGTGTGTGCATGAGGAGTATAATTTTCTTAATACAATCTTTTCCTTTTTGCAGGACACGTTAACTCAACATCCACTGGATCTGTCTGTCTTTTTGGAGCCTCGTGGATTCATGAGATTCCTTCAGTTGGTATGTACTCAATAGAATAGAAACTAATTCATGGTTGATATGGAGTCGAATAGAATAGAGTTGTGATATTGATGTATAAATATATTTCCATAAGTAATACAATTTTTTATTCTATTCTACTTTATGTCTACAAATATCATATCTATAGGTTCCTCTGCTCTCTAAATTTTGAATTAGGCTTGTCAAAATGGGCAGTGATGTCTTTTTTTGTCAGTTGTACCAATTGACAATAATGCGATCTACGGAGAGGCTATTTTTTAATTATATATAACACTTTTCCTTCCTCCCCTCCACAAGGGCGGATCCAGCAATTTGGCAACAATGGATTCCTTCCATTTAAACCCATGCTAAATAATCGATTCTTGTCGGAGCACCTGGCCCCTCCAAGAATCGATACATTTCCACAGGTTTAAACGGAGAAAAACAGTGTTGCCAATTTGCTGGATCCGCCTGTGCCCCTCCATCCTTGAATGTTACATTGTAGCCAGGTTATATCAAGAGATTACTGTGTCAAAGACCCTCCTATCTTCCACTCTGATTTGCTGAAGTAATTAACGGTATCTTAGTCGTGCATACTGATATGGATCATGGACCCCCACCTTGAGAAATTTTTGATTATGGACTCCCCCTCCTTAAAATTCCCCGGTCATCTGACTTGAACTCTCTAATCTCGTTAGTCTGCTTTTCTCTGTCTGGTTTGTCATGCTCCAAACCAGGTTGAAAATTTTGCAAGCCTCTGGCTGTACTTATTCCTTTATTATCTGTACCGTAAGACTTTATGTTAACCTCTTGCTTTGTCTTGCTCCCGCTTTAGTGTAAATAAATCTATTCTTTTTTTCACTCCACCAACTTTGCCCATCGGAACCCTAAATGTTTTCATAATCACGTCAGATGGTGTCGGTTAAGAGCTATCATATCATATCGTGCCAGAGATTATTCGGATTGCATTTTGCAAAAAGGAACCAGGAGAATTGCAATGTTGCTAAGATTGTGCAACCTTTTTTGTTTTAGACAAAAAACCTGACCATCAATAAACAGTTTCTATTTTACTGGCTAAAAACTGTAAATTTAAGACAAAAATTACCATGTGAATTTCATACTTTTTCAGGATTTCAATAGTTTTACTGCAGAGTATGAAGTCGCACAATCTTAGCAACATTGCAATGCTTCTGGTTCCTTTATGCAAAATGCAATCCATTTGGATAATATCGTTTATGATTGCTATCTTTTAGATTGAAAAAAATGATTTCAATTACATTATTTATTGTTTATCACTTATGAATTTAAAGCTTTTTACAACTGGGCAAAAGCCCTGTTGTATATTAGTTAGCATAAGTCAAAATAGCCTAAGTCATTAAAATTGAATGTGCCTCCGGATAAGGTTTGAATTAAAGTACTATGCAACATAGCTTGCTTTCCAATTTACATGAGAAAAACGAATCTGAGAGGAAATAGATTCCTGATTGGATTCACCAACCAACCATTTTCTGATGAATCAAGAGGTAAATGCTTCCTCTGGTCTTTTTTATTCTTATGGTTTTTTTTTTTTTTTTTTTTTTTTTTTTTGTCATGCTTTATTAGGTAGTTATCTCATTTTAGTTTACTGTTATGATGCCTCATCATTTGTTAGTCTGAGTGAGGAACAGAGCATATCTGTACGCTATCAGTTAACTATTTTATCTACTCTTTTTTTATTTCCTATGTTGTAATATGCATTAGGTCCATTTGTTTATATGGCACTCATGTTGGGATTCAGCAATGAATACTTCTTCGGACTAATACTCTCATTTCTTTTATCCGCTTTGAAGTGGGTCAAAGGGCCAACAGAATTTGAATATGTCAGCCGAACTTACTATAGCAAAGTTATTATAAAAAAAATTTCATCAAGCGTGATAAGATAAAAATGACAGGGAGGGTCAAGAATTTTGGAATTTTTGGAGTCGGGGAATTGGAAAATGAAGGAGGTATAGAAACCTTGAACTTCAGATTTGTGCTCAAGATATTATTGATTTATGAAGAAAATTCAATTAAATCATAATTTTTTTATCCTGTTAAGAGGAAAAATGCTAAAAGAAATTTTGAAACACTGAACTGAGAAGTACACTTTCTGCACCTGAGTCCTCACTTTGGATGGATCTTACAGTCTCATTTTACAATTTTTATGGGCGGGTCAGGAAACCGTACGATTGTAAAAGCCGAACAATTTTTTAAGGGGGGGGGGGAGGGGGCACTTGGCAGTAACTATTTTTTTCCTCTTTTTTTCTTTGGCATGAAAATGTGCCAAGGATCTTTTAGATCACAGCCTCCATTGAAATATTTTAATTTTGGGCTCATTTCTTGATACTAAAATTCTTAATATTTTCTATGTGCATTCCATGTCTTCCTCAAGTGGAAGTACAAGCCAAACGTAGGAACTCAAAAATTTAAAATTGTCGACCTTCCATAAGTTATACTCTTGCTGTCTCTACCGCTCAGACTAATAAGTTTTTAATGTTATTAAATATTCGTAATATTGTAATTTCCTATTATTATTTTTATTTTGGAATAAATCTCTTTTTTCGTAGAGTTTTTCAGTTTTCGCATATGCTGCTATTAGAGGTTATGAAGGTTTTGTTGATATCAATTATTGTAAGGACATGAGCGCGCATTTAGTTTTTGACTATCCGTTTGCGTAAGTTGTAGTTATAATTTCTGATTGCTTATTTTCATGTAACAGTCGCACCGATTTGCTAATCCTCATGCTTCTGGCTGGCGAAAATTTTAGATGCATGCATTCATGTCTACTGTTAATAGCTGTGATTCTGAGAAGGAAATCCCTCTAACCTCACTCCTACCTGACTGTCTTTTTTCTAGTTTCTTATAGTTTATATCGTCGTCCAAGAGCCGTTCATAAAAATTGTAAAGCTCCAAGGGATAAGGGGTGTTTGAGCCTCCATTTTGGGTGCGTCGCAGGGCTGCCTTACTGAATGCTCAAATGGACATGCAGCACCTATTTTTCGAAATCTAAAATGAAAGATCAACATGAGGTGGCAGTCTTTTCGTTTAAAATTAATCTCAAAACGCTAATTTGAGAGGAGGGGGAGGGCGAACAAAGCGCCACTTATTTTTTTTAGGGGGTGCAGACTTCAGCAATTAAGGAAAGGGGGGAAGGGATGGTCAAAGAATCTAATTTTTAGCACATATTTTATGAATGGCCTTAGCTGTTTTGCATTTATCATTTCCTGTCAGCCATCTTCAAAGTCACAGCACACATGCTTTTTTCTCCAAATTATCCTTGTATAATCAGTTAAGTCTCCCTCATTCCACGTCCTTCCTTTTCTCGGGGAAGGAGGATTTTCTTTGCCTTCTCTTACTCATGGAAGTTCCTTAACAACTATGTTTATTTATCATTTGATTTTTTTATCACGCTTAAAAAAAAAGTTCACTCTCAGCTGTTAATGAGCATGCTTAATGGGATGACCTATAACTGGACAGCCTCAGTTTTTACAACCTGCAACAAATCCGCGCTCATTCCTGTTGCTGAACAGATTTTAAAACTAACCCCTTAGATTCTTAATTTATAATACCCCTCCTATGAAAAATATCAATAGAAGAAAATGACAGGATAAAAGAAAGAACAGCATATGATTAATACTAATAATACCAGCTTTTCTGCCCGCTTCTGGCTCCAATTGAGCAGTTCAAAGATTTTCCTGGCGTGTAATAGCTCCTCTTGATATGAAAGTTGCTTTGTTAGACATATTCATGACAGAGCAATGCTTTTTTTAAAATGGCTGTAGCAGTAACATTTTCTATGCATAAATGCGCCTGATTGCAGCTTAGTCCAGTTTCACTTGTGAAATTTAAATACGCTAATAAGTACTAGTAAAATACGAAACAAACTAAGGATGGCATTTGAGAAAATAAGGCAGTAGAAAGACCTCGCAAATTTTCAGCAATTGAGTTGCTGATACCATAGATGCCAAAAGGCTCCCAAGTAGAAGACCTCTCAGTGACTTTGGCGTCCATTTTTTTTTACTTTTACATCGATCCACCATCCCTTTTGTCATTGTATTAAGCTGAAACAAGAAAATGAGCCATCTTTTCTTTTTTAAATTTTTATTGTTTTGTCCCTTTGTTTTGCCACCTAAAAACATAAAAGTCTTGTGGATCGACTAACTGACTGATTTCTGTTTTTTTGTTCAGGCTCTCGGATGTGAAATACAAGCTTGAGAAACCGTGTGTCTCCAGCAAGGATACAACATTTATCGATCTTGCCGGCGATTTTTCACTCGAAAGCGAGTTGTTCGTTGTGTCTTGTTGGATGTCATTCCTGTACTGCATAATCATTATTTACATTTACGTCAAGTTGACTCCTCATTATGAAAGTAATGTGAAGTGGCCTATCTACGTAAGTAGTACATGCTCTGTTAAAATTGAATCGGCTCGTGCGAAAACCGCTAATGTCCATTTTTTTCAATTTTGAGATGTTTGGGTTTAAATACTTTCGGAGGTTAGACACACTCATTAATGTGGTGAACATGTTTGTTCCTTAGGTTTGAAGTCCTTTTCAGGGGGGGTCGTGGTCCGAATCATGCGAAAACCGCTAATGTCCATCTTTCGTTATATGCCTCATTACTGTACAACAAACCAAAATAAAAAAATGTCTTCTGGACGAAATTAGGTGATCTTTGTGCATTTTAAGGCGCTGAATCCTAATGTGACCTCCGTTTTATTCCATCACCCTCCAATTTTCCGGAAAAGCCGATTTTACTCGGAAAAATGACCATTTTGGGGCTTTTCGGTGTTTTTCCGACTGCTATCCCTTGCATAATGCAGATAACATTTTTCGTAGCTACGAGGTTCATTTATACCGATGTCTTTTTAACTGATGAGTCCGGAAATGACCTTAATTTTTCCCGTTCACCTCTCAGTTTTCCGGAAAAGCAACTTTATCCCGGGAAAATGAGCAAATCCGACGCATATTTGTCGTGCATGCAATGTATTTTTATTAATTTTCCTTGACCCGTGGTAGCATACTCATGTATTTTGAGCTACTAAATCCGAATATGACCTCGGTTTCTTTTTATCACACTTAGATTTCCGGTAAAGCCGACTTTTCCGAGCCTAAGATTGTGTATTGTAAAAGCTTTGCCGGATCGAAGCGTATTCAAAATTCATTGTATGAATGTCTCCGACATGTGATACATCGGTACCTTTGTATTTTGATCTGTTGAATTCAAATATGATCTCAGATTTTTCCGATCACCCATCATTCTTCCGGAAAAGTCGCTTTTCCTAGGAAAACGCTCTTTTCAGATATTTTTGCGATGATTTTTCTGCTTTAAGGAGTTTCAGAAATTCTCCGGCAGGTGATAACGAATTTCTAAGGTCATATTCGGGTTTTTCAGCTCAAATTACATGAGAATCGATGTATCACACATGCGAAAAATGTTTTGAATTTCCCTGGAAGTGGGAACAGTCCGGAAAAGCTTTTGACCCGGAAAAATCGGACCTTCTAGAAGACGGGGGGGTTGTCAAAGATGAGTGAAGGTCAAATTCAAGTTCAGTGCCTCTCAATACAGCAAGAGAAACCTAAAGAGGATCTCGGAAAATTTCTGAAACTCCCTAGAGCAGAAAAATCATCGCAAAAATATCTGAAAAGAGCGTTTTCCAAGGAAAAGCGACTTTTCCGGTGTATTGTAAAAGCTTTGCCGGATCGAAGCGTATTCAAAATTCATTGTATGAATGTCTCCGACATGTGATACATCAGTACCTTTGTATTTTGATCTGTTGAATTCAAATATGATCTCAGATTTTTCCGATCACCCATCATTCTTCCGGAAAAGTCGCTTTTCCTTGGAAAACGCTCTTTTCAGATATTTTTGCGATGATTTTTCTGCTCTAGGGAGTTTCAGAAATTTTCCGAGATCCTCTTTAGGTTTCTCTTGCTGTATTGAGAGGCACTGAACTTGAATTTGACCTTCACTCATCTTTGACAACCCCCCCGTCTTCTAGAAGGTCCGATTTTTCCGGGTCAAAAGCTTTTCCGGACTGTTCCCACTTCCAGGGAAATTCAAAACATTTTTCGCATGTGTGATACATCGATTCTCATGTAATTTGAGCTGAAAAACCCGAATATGACCTTAGAAATTCGTTATCACCTGCCGGAGAATTTCTGAAACTCCTTAGAGCAGAAAAATCATCGCAAAAATATCTGAAAAGAGCGTTTTCCTAGGAAAAGCGACTTTTCCGGAAGAATGATGGGTGATCGGAAAAATCTGAGATCATACTTGAATTCAACAGATCAAAATACAAAGGAACCGATGTATCACATGTCGGAGACATTCATACAATGAATTTTGAATATACTTCGATCCGGCAAAGCTTTTACAATACACAATTTTAGGCTCGGAAAACTCGGCTTTACCGGAAATTTGAAGTGTGATAAAAAGAAGCCGAGGTCATATTCGGATTTAGCAGCTCAAAATACATGAGTAACATGCTACCACGGGTCCAGGAAAATTTATAAAAATACATTGCATGCACGACAAATATGCGTCGGATTTGCTCATTTTCCCGGGATAAAGTTGCTTTCCCGGAAAACTGAGAGGTGAACGGGAAAAATTAAGGTCATTTCCGGACTCATCAGTTAAAAAGACATCGGCATACTTGAATTTCGTAGCTACAAAAAAATTTATTCGCATTATGCAGTCGGAAAAACACCGAAAATGCCCCAAAATGGTCATTTTTCCTAGTAAAATCGGCTTTTCCGGGAAATTTGAGGGTATTGGGAAGAAACGGAGGTCATAATCGGATTCAGCGCATCAAAATACGTAAGGGTAACTTTCTTTACCCGAAAGGCATACTGAAAAATATGCGTTTTCGATTATTTAGAACCGACCATGCACGAATCATGCGAAAACCGCTAATGTCCAGTTTATTGCTGGTCGTTTCGTGATGAAACTTGCTTTAAGTGCCGCAATTGTCAAGAATTTTAGTTTTACAACTTTATTTGAATGATAATCTACCGTTTTCATTCCTTTAGAATGAATTTTGAAAGTATCAGACGGTTCCAAAACTTGGAGATTTTTGCGAATCATGCGAAAACCGCTAATGTCCAGAGTCTTTTCTTTTTAATTATTCCGTTCCAGACAGAGGAGGAGCTGGAAACTGTTAGGGATCCTTTTCTACAATCCTCTCTTGTAATAATTAACTTCTGAACATTTTTTAATTCCGCATTTTAAAGGCTCCTACAGTTTTATGCAGTTCTCTCAAAATTAGAGAAAATGGACATTAGCGGTTTTCGCAGGAGCCGATTCAATTTCAACATAAATATTTCTTTCCAATCACCACTGTCTAGAAAGTCTCTGTTTATCCATCATTCTAATGCAACCTTGGATGAAGATATTTTCAATGAATGAATTTTGAAAGAAAACATTTAAAAGGATGATTTTAACTGCAGTTTCAAACGTTAATCAGATTCCTCTTCTGTGGATGAAGTATTAGTGATGACCTTAAGTGTGCATAACTATTGTCTGAGTGAGACACTTTTAAAGCAATTGCATGGTATCTACAAATCTAGAATTTATGGAAAGTCCGAAAATAGTACTGATTTTTTAAGGACGGTTCGGAAGTACTGAAAAGGTGTGGAAATTCCGTCGGAAGGTCCCAAGTTTTTCATTTTTGTCGCAATTTCAGAGAGAAATTCAAATTTTTGAAATTTTTCGAATTTTGTCAAATGGAGGTACTGTAAAAGTACTGATTTTTGGCCAGCCTGTTTTAGTAGACACCTTGAATTGGCTCTGCTGGAAGTGAATGTGTGTCTCAAAAATACATTAATGGTGAAACTACCAAATCTTACATCTTAATTGCGGTAGCTGAAAATTTCAGCTAATTTTTTTTTCAGTGATACTGCTCAAAATTCGTAAGCAAAACTTTCTGAAAATATTCCTGAAGGAACAAAGAAAAATCAAACATAATTTGGTGCAAAATAATTATGAAGTCCTCTTTAAAGAAGTAAATTGTGTCAGAAGATTTGAAATGTTGTAAATAGAGAAATGTAGCCGGTTTAGTAAATTTACCATCAATTTGCAACTGTCTTTAGGAAAATGAACATTTCCGGCAAAAAATTCAAAATCTAAATATCGATATCACTGAAAACATATAGGATTTAGATGAGATTTTGGCATAGAACCTCCAAACCAGAATTATAATGATTTGAAGTTTGCTGTGTAAAATATGAAATTCAGAAAAAGCTGTCAAAAGTTTTGATCTTTCCCATTCTCGACTGCAGAATGCACCAAGTTTTGGCCTATTCTTTGAGAAACTTGCAAGAATTTCCCTTTGTCTCTAATATATTAATAAAAAAGGTCAGAGTACCTAGAAATAAAATTCCAAGAAAGACAGCAGGTTTGCTCTCAGATTGATGGCGTCATATTATTTTCCAATGAAACCACCTGTTTTATCTTAAAACCCCATTTATTGTTGGTACATTTGAGGGGCACCGGATGCGAAAAAGGCACTTCTCGGTTGTAGTGTTACAGAGTCTCCTCTAATATTTCATTCATTGTAAGGAAAGTGATTGCATCCATTTCATTAAAAATTTTACTGAATATTCCCTATGATCGTACAAGTCTCTGTGGAAAGAATTCTGGATAAATCACCCATTAAATTCTCCTCAAAGGGATCAATTAGCAACGGAGATTCTGAAACACTGCAATCGAGAAGTGCCCTTTTCGCATCCAGTGCCTCATTTGTGTGAGGTGAGTCCTCCACTGAATTTCCTTTTTTCATTTTTGAGTGCAGAAGTAACACTAGAAACATGTCTCACATTTAAAGTAAGTTTGATGCTTTTTGACACAATGTCTGGACTCTGTATAAACCCATCAGTTTTCTTCATTTACGTTTAATGTTGCAGGACTTCCTGGCATCATTGATTGTAAGTGGTCTCTGGATTTTCCATTTTGTCATTTGGGCAAGAGCCGTCTCCGGAATAAAAGAAGCAACAGATCCGGATCGTGTGGTGGAAGAATGTAAAATTGAGCTTCATTGTTTGAGAGCAACAACAAGCCCCTATTTCGGATTGAATCTCTCGATTGTAAGTAATTCAATTCTTTTGAGGTACATTGGAAGGAGAAGAATTCAACAGATCTATGGCTAAATTGAAAAATTTGTATCTCTGATCACCATGTTTTCACTCTCCGCTTGTGGTTTATTTTCTTAAAGGAAAACTAAACAACAGTTTATACTGAAATTTTCTTCACTCACTCTAAAAATCATTCAAAACTGCAAGGAAACATTTGGAATAGTTTTTCTTGAAGGAAAAAAAAGAAATATAATTGGGATTTTTTAAAGCTGCAATTGAAATGTATACTTTTTGCATTTAACCATCAAAATATAAACATAAATTTGTTGCTTCACCAACTCAAAAGGGGTTGGTGCAAAATTGCTCTGGATCTTTTTGCTTTTTAGTGTAATAAAAAAGTATGTAGAGGGGTACTCTAGTCCAAAAAAAGTTTTTAGGGGTTCTTGAGGGTTGCTGAGTTCAGAAATTACAGGTACTTCCAAAAAATTCACTTTCCTAAAATTACAGCTCCGTACACGCCCACTGAGCGACCGCTCAGCGCTCGGCGGGCCTCTAAAGTAGCGCTACGGAGCTTTACTTTTAAGAAAGAGAATTTTTTGGAAGTACCTGTAATTTCTGAACTCAGAGACTCTCAGGAACCCTGTAAACTTATTATCCGGCTTTTTGGCGCGCGAAAATAGGTTGAAGCGCGTTGAGCAAAAACTTCAATTGCTCATAACTCCGGAACTGTTTGGTTCCTCAGCTTTATGGACCACTCGTTGGATGTGGAAAAAGACAAACAATTTAAAAAACTGGTCTTGGTTCAAATAAAAAATTGAGATCTTTGTGTATTCTTTGTTTAAAAGAAATTCTCTGGACTCAAAAACTGAAAAAAAGCACATATGTTAACTCAAAAATGTGATTTTGGGATTTTGACCTCAAGAACCTTAAAGTATGCAACTTTAGGCGATTTTTCGTCCATACCGGTCCTTGATATCTTTCTTCGTTCGAGAGATATTGAGGCTCACAGGTTTCGACCTTCACCCCTCCCTAGCGCCCCCCAAAATTCTTTGGGGGTCTGAAAATTTAGGGAAAGAAGCGCTTAAGTATGAGTAATCAATAGACAAAGTTTGAAGAAACTCCAGAGGGAGGGCGATATAAGCCGTTTTTGCATCAAGCTCTTTGGGACCATTTTTTTCTCTCTTGAGGTGATTCGTCAAGCTCAAGTGACGTGGTCGAACTAGCATGCGATATATCGCATCGATTAGGTCAAAAATCTCGGCAAATTTTGAAGTTTTAGCAAGAAAAAGGAAGACAGCCCCTGCGCGTGAGCCTTAAGAATCATTATAAACTCAAAAGTCGGCAAAATTTAGAGAAATGAAAGCAGAATAGTATTTGGGAAAAAAGCTCGCATTCGATTCAGCTATCGATTTCTGTATTGAATGCAAGGTTTTGTTCCAAACACTAGTCTGCTTTCATTTCTCTGAATTTTACCAGTTTTTGGGTTTAAAATGATTCTTTAGGCTCATGCGTAGAGGCTATCATCCTTTTTTTTGCTAAAAATTCAAAATCTGCCGAGATTTTTGACCTAATCAATGCAACATATCGCATGCTAGTTCGACCATGTCACTTGAGCTTAAAATCACCTTAAGTTTGTGGAATCACTGTAAAATACCGCACTTATTTTCAGGTTTTACTGAAAAGGATATGCCGTCCTCCATAATGTGCTGATTAAAAAAATCTTCACAGAATTCTAGAGAAATTTTTTACAAACTTTTACTTTAAATTGTTTACTTTTTACTTTGATTATTTATCCCTTACTTTTTTCGAAACTTAAATTAATTGGGTTCCACTGCTTGATTATCCTAGCAGAAGACGTTTAAATTCTTCAGCTTTCAACTTGCATTAATTTTCGTTTGTTTCAACGAATGACTAAAATATTTGTTTGTATACTTGCAGGCATTAGGTCTGATCAACGTGATTCTCTGGACATCCAATCAGTGGTTTCTCTTCAAAGAAACACCTTGGTTTGGGCAAGGCACTGCTGTTAGCATGAGAGGCGGTCCTGCCCTTCACATCTAATCCATAATTTAACAACTTATCATTCCAAATCATGTATCTATTGTGCTTTTATTTTCTAATTTTTTAACCATTTTTAATGCACTATTCATACTGGCCAGGCCATGTATGTTTACTAAGTCTCCAGTTTTCTTGCTTGATTTTATACCACTCTGGTGCAAGTATTTTGCAGCATTGAGGCAAACTTTAATTAATTGATCTCATGTTGTTTGCGTCGCACCCCGAAAAGCATAGGCCTAATTTTTTACCATTAAAATTAGGTACTTCACTAGTTTTAAGTCAATCACGAATCGCACATCTACGTTTGTGATGTAATTAAAATTAACAAGATGTAGTTGGTGAATGTTTCTTTATAGCTTTACAATTCGATTTTTGAATTTTTTATGGATTATTAAGCTACACATCTTTCTTTAATTATCCATCCGTCTCCTGCAATACTACAAGAAGAGAGAATCTGTCGTTCAGGATTTTACAGAACTCACAGCAAAATTCACTTTCGAGTGTAGATTTTGTACTTTCAATCATAGAAATTCTATAAGTTTCTATGGAAATGAGTTGCACACTTGCTGGTCAACATTTGGTAGCAGCAAAAATTTTGATTTCAAGTAATTCGTTTTACTCTCCCATACATTTTACCAAAGAAAATAACCTTGCCTTTTATTGTAATAGTGTCTGTGACTAAACATTCCGTCCCTTCATTTATAATCCAACAAGATTTTCAATGATATTGTCCAAGATGTTGTGGCAATATTTTACATCAGACTGAAAAGATCCATCATCTTCTCACCTTTAGAGATCAGTTGTGTTCTTTGCGGATGATAATGTCAATGAAGGAAGTCCAAATCTCAAATAAAGATGAGTCCTCAAAGCGAAGGAGGATTGTGATGACGCTTGAGCAGAAACTCGAAATATTGAACAAACTTGAAGCTGGAATGACCTGTAGCCTCATAGGACGCCTCTACCAAACAAACGAATCAACAATACGGACAATCAAGCAGAATGAGAAAGCAATCAGAGATAGCATCCAAAAAGGGACTCCGTCATCATCGAAAGTGGTACAGTACCGAAAAAGAGACAAGTCCCGAAAACGAAAAAGGACCGTGTTGAAGCCTGAGGAAAAAATTGAAATTTTCGATGAGCTGCAAGCCGAGATGACGTGCAGCAACATTGGACGTCAGATTCATAGGAATGAATCAAAAATTGGGTCAATCAAACAGAACAAGAAAGCTATCCGAGGTCACATTCACAATGAGGCAGCTTCTCAACCTTCACCTAAAGTAGCCAAGGACACAAACAAAATCAAACCACGAAAACGATCAAGGGTCGTCATGACACTCGAGCAAAAACTTGAAATCCTGGACAAAATTCAAGGCGGAATGACTTGCAGCGACATCGGACGCTTGTATCACACAAATGAATCAACAATTCGGACCATCAAGCAGAATGAGAAAGCCATCCGAGAAAGCATTCAAAATGGGACCCCAACATCAGTGAAAGTGACTCGATACCCACGAAACAAAGTTCTCGAGCAGGCCGAACAAATTCTAAGCGAATGGATCAAAAGTACAGAAGCACAGAATCTTCCAAGTGCTTCTGACATCCGGAACAAAGCAAAGGAGCTGTACGAACAACTGGCTCAAGGCCAGAAATGTGACAGCTTTTGCGCAAGTAAGGGCTGGTACGATAATTTTAAGAAACGGTTTATTCACCAACATGTACAGTCCCCAACTGATGGACCATTCTCCATGTCATACGAATCTGCTCTTTTACCGGAGTGTTCGGTTCAAGAGCCAAAAGATCTTGTGCTTTGCATCGTAAAAGAGGAGAAAGAAGACATAGCCGAGGATCAATATAGTTATGATGGGCCTTCCGAGTACTCGGAAGAAGAGAAAGGGGATTCATTTGATGTTCAGTTTGGTCTAGATGGTCTCACCAAATTCCTGTGGAAGGCTAAGGAATTGTGCGAATTTGTAGTTGATCTGGACCCTGATCCAGAGCGGAGTATGAAGTTTGCAGAAGCTCTGGAGCAGGCTATTTTACCATATCAAATGCTTAGAGATAATTTGATGATGGATGTGGATGAACAATTGTAACAGACTAATTTTTAGCAAAGTTGATTTTTTGCTGCCGGATCAAACATGTGTCTGTGCAAGTTCTGATGCTTGCAGATGGACTGAGAAACTTTCAGTTTGGATTGATCATATTTAAATTTTTTTCGGTTTTATAATCAGATATCATCTGAAGCTGATTTTGTGCATTATGCAGTAAAGGCTATTTATTATTCCAATATTAACGAAGATACAGCTCTAGAAGGGAAATAAATGAGTGTACATTATTCACCGGTGCACTGCATACCATGGTCCGTGGTTTTTTCTTACTGGTTTGATCAGCGGAACTTGTGCATATGTAAGCATGATATTGTATGTAAGCATATTTAAGTATGAAACCATGTTATGCGTTACTTTGGCGAATGACATGGTCTACCATTTTTTTCCAGGGCAATATCTTGATTAATATCAGAAATTTGAGACTGACTATTAGTTGGACTGCATTTTGCAATTTGGAACTATAAATTCTAGCCCGGTTTAAAAACATCGTATGTGCCATTAGTTTCCCTATGCACTTAAGTGTTTTTTCAGATGAGTTAGAATTTATAGCTCCAAATTGCAAAATGCAGTCCAGTTGGACCTCATTTTTCATGTCTAATCTTCGAGCCTCTCACACCAAAAATGATTCTGTAAACCAACTGCCTGACGTATGCAGCCCACACAAATTGTTTCAGAGTAATTTAAATGGCCAGACAATTGTTCCCTCCAATATATCAAAAATGAAATTACCTAACCGTGTCTCGTTTGCAGTGTTTTAAAATCTCTGCTCTTTGGTTACGTTCTTTAGAAGAACAAATCGACATCACACCTTGAAGTTTTCAGAAATTTCTCTGCATGGAGAAGAAAAATCATGGAAGTTTTGAAGAATTGAGGCACTGGATGGGAAAAGGGAACGTCTCGGTTGCAGTGTTTCAGAGTCTTCTCTATTATTTCATTCATTATAAGGAAAGTGAATGCATCTATTTCACTAAAAATTTTACTGAATATTCCTTATAATTCTACAATTATCTGTATGGGAATTCTGGAAAAATCGTCCATTAAGTTCTTCTCTATCGTATTAATTAGCAACAGAGATTCTGAGACTCCGCAATCAAGAAGTGCCCTTTTCGCACTTAGTGCCTCAATTGACGTAGAGTATTTTTTCATTTAAAGCTAAAGTATGAAAGAAAGTCTGCAACGTTACAAACAGAGATACATGGTTTCGGAGTTTCACCGTCGATATGCACCATGTAAAACAAGGTCGTGTCTCACCCTGGTAGTCTATTTAGGGATTGTAGAATACGCAACTGAACGGGCAAAGTGCATTTCTCCCCCCAATTAAGATCAGACTGTGGATATATTTTCTCACAGCAATCATGTCATAATTGTTTTTTCTATCAATTAAATCTCAGGTCCTTTTTTAGGTGCCCCTTTCAATATATAGTGACTGTTCTTTTAGTTTTTAAGCTGTATATACTTGAACTTTCCAATTGTTGATCCAGGGCTGATCGGGCTTATTTTGAATTCAGCCCTTCCTAATGCTTCCTGTTTCTATTACCCTTTTATGTGAGTAATCCGTGATTTCTACCAAAATATTTTTGTTATTTAAAAATTAAAATTATTTTTTTATAAAGAACGTTTCACTCTTGTCTTTTCAGTAAATTCACCAAGATTTCTTCCCATATAGAGAGATTTGTCCGAGTTGATTTGCTAGAACTCGCATCAGATGAGTTGGCAGTTGTTTACTCTCCGTTTGCAAGCAACTGCGCTGCTGCTGTCCAATAGGAACCCAGGATTGACCAAGCGCAATGACAATGCCAAGTTGCTGTTGTGCTCAGATACCAAAAGCCAACACCTTCCTCAGAGGAGTTGTCGTTAAATTTATCCACTACGTTTGACAATCAGAGGTAAACGACTGTCAACTTATTGGCGTGAGCTCTAGTGAAAATTAACCTCTTAGACACAGTGGTTCAGTGCTAGCTGGTCAGTATTTTATCCTTATAACTAATTTCAAATATCAACCGAAGATTCCTGGCCATCAATGAAAAATTTGCTAGTTTGTCATCAGCACGGAAACACTAATCTTTGAAATCTAAAAATGTAGGTTTCAAAATCTAGGAAGTCTTCTGACCCTTTTTTTCATCCCTTCGAGTTCAATTTACATGCAAAGACTTTCTGAAGTGATAAAGGCCCAATTTTTTGGTACAAGAGACAAATAGTAATTTTGCAATAGCATTGAATTTAAGACTGTCAACTCGGTAGAACTCAAGTCTTGTAACTCTCTTGTGCAAGGGATATTTGGTTTTTGCAAGAAAGAACACTCTTCTTCCTTTTGCATCACCTGCAATGTGATCGGTATCATATCCGAACGCTTCCATAGGGGTCAGAAGTTTCGATGTGCTATTTTTTATCACCTTAGAATGATAAAAATTTTAAAAAAAAACTAGTTTAAGAGATAAGTCATTTTACCTTTTGGCTCTCTGCAGTGTTATTGTGAAAAAAATTAAATTGAGTGTAACATTTTGGTATTAACACTTAGGTACTTAATTTGTTATGTGAGGAGGTAGCCAAAATAAACCTGTTTTTTTCATGTCAGCCAATCGTACACACTTTTATTTAGCACTTCAGCTACCTCTTCAAAAAACAAAAAAATGAAGAAAAGGAGGTTTTCATGACAAGGAGTTGGACAAGAAAGAGAATTAAATACAGAAGTATATTTTTTTAAAATAATTTTAATAGGAATCTAACAGTATAACGATAAGAAATTTACAAAAGAGATGAGTGTTTCGGAGTTGACAAAAACGAGGATCACTGCTTTCACAAGTTTTTCTTGAACGAGACGGAAATCCGTCAATAGCAAGAGCCATTGAACTTGAATTTCATTTGAGATTCATCGACATTCAGGACTGGGGCTCGGCAGAGATAAATGAAGCAATTCAAAAAATTTACTATGTGAAAAATACCCATATAGGTACTTCATGGTAATATCCTCAGAATTAAGGCCCCTTTCAAGAAAGAGTCTTGGACAAAACCACTCAAAGCTTCTCAATACATACAACAAAGTAGTAACTCAAGGAGGGATTATAACCTGATAATTTCCTACACTAAGTTTTTAAAAGTGTATTTATTCAGCTCGGGTTGCATATTTGAACGATGAAATGAAGGCACTTGTTAAGTGGATCTCATAGACAAAAAAATGACCCATTATGATGAAACGGTGCTGATAGCACCTCAAAGTATTCAAGTAAAAACACTTTGAGAAAAAGATCATAAAAAATAGTGCATTTTCTTCGGAAAACGCACTAAAAAATATACAAAGACAAAGAAATGATCCATTATAATGAATCAGTGCTGACAGCACCTCACAGTATTCAGGTAAAAACACTTCGAAAAAAAAAATCATAAAAAATAGTGCATTTTCCTCAGAAAACATACTAGAAAATATAGTTGCAGAAAAAAATCTCCCGGAGCCTCAGGGAACTGAGCTGAGTGAAAGAAAACTCAGTGACGAAAATTTAATTACGAGTATTTGCCTATATGAAAGGTCAACGTTGGCAATAGAAAGTGTCTCAACTTCGCTCAATGCTGTCTGCTTTCTTTTCATAAAATGTAAATTAACAAAAGATTTTGATAGTTATTTGGACCAGCATGGAGAGCATGCTCAAAGAGGTACATAAAACTCCAGTTTTCCTGGACAGAGGGTATTGAGACAGCACTTAATAGCTAGCTTCAGACGCAATAAAAGTTTAAACAAGTTATGAAAGCTCAATGATCCCTGATGAAAATATGGGGGTAAAGAGATGCAAAAATCTTAAGTCTCATTTTGATGGCTGAAGTAAAAAATGCACACCTCAGATTGCAACCTTGTAAATCTCGACTCATGTTCAACTATTTTAAAACAGAAAAGTAACCAATAGTTCTTTATTCATTCTGAGAAAATTTCACAATATTCCATAGAGACAATTTGATTATTTTTCCTCCAAGAAAAGCAACATAATCATAACGCGAGGATCGTACTTTTTGCATTTAACTATTGAGAACGGAGAGTAAAACTATCTCACGATAGACATGGTGTATATTGATGGCAAAATGCTATTTGACTAATAAAAAAGCTCAAGCTTTCTTGAATTGGCTTGAAGGTGGTCTAGGGGCGCCATCCCCCTGAGCTTCCTCTCATTTCTGCAGATAAATGAATGGAAAACAGGAAAAAAGACATTCATTTAGAAAGAGTGGAGGAAGAGATTAGAAGTTGATCTGCTCTACGACCCTTCCCCCTCCTTCCCCAAAAAAATTCTAGAATTCACAGATAATCTGAGTTCCAATGTTGTGATTTTACACAGAAATCTGCACGCACTTTTGACGAAGAAGGGTGTGCAAGTCAATAAATGAATGATTTAATGTCTCACAGACTAGATCAATCGTTATAAATATTGTAAAATTCCTTAATTTTCATAAAAAGTTCAAAGTGAAATAGTAAAGCTCAGTTTCGAGGAATGAATTGGTAGGTCATTAATATTTGGTTAAAGCTACAGAAAAGATACAATCCACGATAATTATACGTTCTGACGTCTTCCCCTAAAGAATAATTCTTAGAGAAAGTAGACGCACTAAAATGCTTATGCTCCAGCTATGAATTCTACAGTGTTGGTATAAAAGATAAACCAAAATAGGTATGAATTTTGTGGGGCAGTGAGGTGCACTTTCAGTCCAAGACAATAATTAAATGACGATAATATTTGAGTAAAATATTACTCTGTAAAAATGCTTCTATATTGAGTGACTTTTGACTTAATGCTTCGGGCAGGTATCAAAACACTGTGAAACAGAAACTTGTCTGAGCTTAAAAAAATTGGTGGACGGAGACAAAAGGAGTAAACCATTCTCATTACTTTTTTTGCTAGAAAAATATTCTCATCATTCCCTTCAGTTAAGGATTTGCATTCAGTTTGAGTGAACATTTTTTTTTAGTTTTCTAGAAGTTAAAGCTTGGCTTTACTGACAATTGAACCTATATTTTTCTGGAGGACCCGAGCACCAAAATCCAAGTCGGAGATACTTAAACGGAAAAAATTATGAAATTCAGCGTGCATTCAACCTTTTAAGTCCAGTTTCAATATGTGTTCTCACAAAAGATTGAAAGCACAGAAAATTGCAAAATTTTCCCCATTATTCTCGAAAACTGGATTTTGCCGCTTTAGCCCTCAAGAAAAATATCAGTTCAATTATTAAAATAAGTTTTCTCTCAAATCTTTGATGCAAATCTTAAAGATAAAGTTTTTAATGGGTAACATCTTTTCATTTTTGATATATGAACTTAATTGTGTTCTCTTCCCTTACTTACTAATTCAATTGGAGACCATTTAAAATAAGGTATAAAACATAAACTAAAAAAGTATCTGCTAGACAGGTTGAATGCTAACTATTTTGACCATTGCCTACAAGATGAAAGAGACCACAATCAATCTAATCTATTTAATCTAACATCATACATCTGTCAAGGCTCTTTCATCTCAAAGGCCACAAATCTGAACTTTGATAGCCTCAAGATCCATCTTCTTTTTAACAATAAATAACTCCAGTAGTATTACACTTGTACAGAGTTTGAAATGGAAAAAAATGCATCATTTAAAAAAAAAATTACACCACTAAGCGGACCTTCAAAATTCTGAGCTTCAACCCTGAAACCTATGATTGACCATTCTGATATAGAGGCAACCAGTACGCCTTCACATTATCCCACTCATTTTAACTAAAAATTACATTGATTAAATAGTCAATGATCCAATTCTGAGACTATAAACACTAGTCCAGATTACACTATCTATCTATGTACATTTAAAACTTAACTGAAAGAAATAAAAGGAGGAAAAAATAAATAATGGCTTAAGTTCAAAAACCAGTAGATAAAAACTGCTTTGCCCACCATTAACTAAGAACATCTCAATATTAACAACTGAATTACGGTTTTTAGTCACAGGAAAACAAAAGTGGTGAAACCCCCTTTTGCTGTTTGCTTATAAGAGAAAAATATGTTTTCTTCTCTTGTTCATGTCCTTAGAATTTGCATCAGATAAGTTGGCAGCTGTTTACTTTTGACAGTTGGATGCAATTGACTGGTTTACATTTCTGTGCAAGGCTTTGCCCACAGTTAATCCTTGATGGTTATTGGAGAACGGAAACGGAAAGTAAACAACTGCTAACTTATCTGACGCAAATTTTACTAAATTCTAAACTCATTTCAGATATTTCCAACCAAGAAAGAAGTTTGATTAAAACCATAAAAAGTACATTCCAAAGATCAAAGAGGCTGGTAACGGTTTGCCACAGTTGAAGTTTCATGCGGCAAAACAGATTAGATTATTAAAACTGTGGAAAGCTCTAGTGTAAATATTTTTGTACTTAAGTCATCAAAATGCTTTACAATATTTAAGAGAATCAACAAAATCCTAAATAATTTTGATTAAAAGAAACATACATAGTCTGGACTGATAGGGACCTGAAGTCCAGTTTTTTTCTTATCTCAACAAAAGACTGAGGAACTAAAAACGTTTTACCACCTCCAAATGGAAACATTGATTGTATAGACACTAAGGTCACTCAATTTCAAACTGCTACAAAAAAATAATGTTACCTATGTATTTGGCAACTAGTAATGATTTTTTCAATTTTTTTTTTTTTTTTTTTTTTTTTATTCTAATACTTCTAGATTTTTGGCGGAGCATATATACGATCACATTTCCCTGTTGACTATACACTTGCATAACTTCTTCCCTGGACTGTTAGTATACCAAAATATTTTTTGCTTTTGATCGTTCATTTATTTTTTCAAACATTACCCTTGTTGCCCATTATTCACTGTTTTGACATTGTGTCACTTTTAGAATTGGTTCTCTCCTTTCAATGAATTATTAAAAACACAAGTACACAATGAAAAATTACCTAGAATATTATTACAAGGAGTTGAAATGCTTGTACGGCCAATACTTGTCTTTTCAAATCAAAATTGACTTAGGAAACTTTTGATACATTCAGAAATTTTCTAAGGGCAAGCACATTGTCATTTTAAGCTTGTGAAAACATAACATGTAACTTGAGTATGAAGAATCTGCAAAGAAGAGGATTACAGATAGGACGCGACTGAGTCTGTAGAGACAAAAATTTTCGAGCATTTTGACAAACTTCGCACTTCTTTGAACCAATCACCACGACCCAAGATGTGTAGGAAATTTTCCAACATCTAGATTGACCCAACGCATGAATTCCAGTTAGCAGAGACATCAAATAAACAAGAACTAATCACTCTCAGAACCGTACACAAAATAATTCATGCTTGTTAACTTTAGAAAACAAAAAAATCCAGTCTTTTCAAATAGATCTCCTTACGATCCTGCTTTCTGGTTATTTCATGCTGACAACTTGGACCCAAGAAATAACAGACTCCGGGTCACGATGAGGTAAACTTGGCATGAAGTTCCTCCGTTTCAGTTTTCAATGCATAGAGCTCTTTTTGAATTAGATCAGTGATTTTCTTGCGTGCTTCTTTCGGTTTGACATTGGCTTCCCGCAATTTGGCCACAGCCTGGCGCAAGTCAATCGGATTTCCGAAGTTGAACGTTACCTTCTTGTTGGTGCGCAGATAGTATGGCGGTTCATTGTGGAGAATCTGGTCCATGCCGATATGCCACATGGGGACGATGATTGGGATGACGGGGGATTCATAAACAATTCGACCGATTCCCCACTTGAAACGGAGTTCTTCTTTTGTCATGTTGACTTTCCCTTCTGGGAATATGTGCAGCCACTCTCCTTGGGGCATGATGTCTTGGATCACAAAATTGACGGCTTCCTGTGTAAGTAAAAAATGATTAGATAGTGAGCAAAATGCTACCAGGTCAGAATGTTTACAGACTTGGAGGAAAAGAGTTCCCTAACTTTTCCAGGTTTTCCCTCATCAAAATTTTCTGATTGTTACAAGACAATTCCCATTCATAGAACCAGAAATACAATAGACAACCAGACAAGGTACGAATTTAAGCACTCTGATACATGTTTTTTAACCAGAATTTCATGTAGGACACGATTCTTGCATCAACAATTACTGAAATTAACTCCTAAGATATTAACGTCTTAATTTTATAGTGTTTACAGGAAATTTGAATTGCCCGGTCACAAGAAACTCAATACTCTACGTGAGTCAAATTGCCCCTTACAACGGTTACAGCAGGCTTCTCAATCGAGCACTGTTATTTTCCCAACCTTTATCATTCAAAGTGTAAACAATTTGCTATATCTGAGCCAAAGCATCATGATTGAGGCTACTATATTTTCGTATTGCAGAGACTACCACGTCAAAGCTTAGTGTGCGATTTGACTCTTGCAGACCTTTGAGTTTCCATAAGCGGGAGGTTTGAATTCACACGTCAAGAAACATTAAATATCTTTGTTAGGAATTAATTTCAGTAATTTTCATTGCGAGAACTGTATTCTACGTGAAATTTTGGTTGGGATACATGTATCAGAATGCTTGATTTTAAACCTCGTCTAATGGTCCATTCTGTGCAGTGATTTTGTTGCATGTGACTTTTTGCCAACTTTTGAAAATGGCAATTGATTTCTGGAGCTTATGTGTATGGCTGCAACTTAGACTCACTCATTCATTCCAATGAACTACTCATGCTTAATACTTTTTGCATCAGTCCCACAGTTACACGGTCTACTATGAGCCAAAATTATACTCCTGAATTTTAGTCGAAGTTCGTGAAAATTGTCCTTTTTATGATGCTATTTTGATGGCTTCCTTAGGCCTCTCAATAACAGTTTAAACCATATGTACCTCTCTATGGAAAGAGCTGTTTCAGGAATGAGGAAAAATTCACCCACTATGTCAAAAATCAATGGGACTACAGAAAAAAAAGGTATTCAAATCTAAATAACTGGTAGGAAATTTTGCAGAAAGTCAGAAGGCCAGTGCCTGAAACTGCTGAAGTCTAAAAGATTCTGCACACTTGCAATTTGACTCCAAATGATCTTTCTTTGGGCAAATAAGACTTCTCTAAATTATTTCCGAGGCAAGTAATTTCTTCAAGAACAAAAACTGAAAATAGACTTACTTGATAAACTCCTCGACCTCTTATGATAGGAATACATTTGCCGAGCATAAAAAAGTAGGAGTGAAAAGTTTTGGTGAAGCAAATATCATGAGCAGCCAAAGTCCACCTCATTTTTCTTCTGGAGCAGAATGTTGACCAATCAAGACTTGCTGGAAAAATTAAAAAAAAAAGACTTTAAAAAACGTAAACTTACTAGCCGACAAAATTATCTTTTAGCAGCTACATACAATGGCACAGTGAAAATGGAGGAGATTGGCTTGAAAGTCATCAAAATTTACACTGCTTGATATTTACACTGAACCTTTTTCCATTCAGAACAAAAATAATCAACCATAGAAAGGACCGCGCACATAATATCAAGATGAACTGTTGAAGTCAAATGTTTTATATGCCAATTTCGAAAGAAACCGGGCTGAAAAGTGAATTCTTCGGCCCTCTTGCAAGCATTTTCTGATGGAGATGTAGGGTTGTTGCTATAAGTGTATGGACACAGCGCATTCCTTCATTTTCTATTTGAAAAATTACAAATTCTGGACATTCGTGCCATTGCTCATTTAAAAAAAAAAATGTTAAAACAAAAAATATGTTAGAGAGTGTAATCAGTGGTACCTCTTTTAAGGATAGGTGCTATGGAAAAAAAAACTGATAACTGTTGAGTGTTGATGAAGGACAAATAATAGAAACATTCACGGCAAATACTCATACTTTTTTTTCTTGGATAAAGAGGGTTATTCAAAATCGGCGATTTTACCCAACGCTTGGATTTTGCCCGGAGTTGGATATGTTGTTCCCTATCACAAGACACGCCTTTTTCCGGCATTGGCAAGTTCACCCGAAATTTTTCCCGCGCGCTACAGCGTTGCCAAGTTGAAAACAGGCACATTCCGTAAGTGGCATTAAAATTGAGCTATGAAGTTGCGGTTTTAACGAAAATTCTCTAAAAATTACGCACTTTTAGGATATGACCATGTTTTTAATGTCGCATTAATTTTAACATGCATTATTGCCAAATTTCCGATTTTTAAATTCGACAAATGCTACATATTCGCAAATACCCAAAAAAGCTATCTTCAAATTTGAATAAAAAGTTGTCTAATCGATAGTTCGTTCGATTTCGCATCCATCGATATATTATAGCTCGCTGGGAAACTTTTGGTTCGCGAGATATCATCATTTTTGTGAACAGCTTTATGGAGCGACGACGCTTTTTGAGTCCGGGCGGATAGAAATTTTAGCCTCCAAAAACACCGGGTAGCATTAATTCCATGGTTTCCTATGTAATTTTTGGCGCTGAATCCGAATTTGACCATTTCATAAAAAAATTGTCACCAAGATGTTGCCAAATTTGGCAAAAATTGCTTAAAATCGGCCTTTTTGGCGGATTGTAGCCTGTGACTTGCCAGGAGTTGATCAGACGACAAAATTGGTTATTTCCACAGTTAAAACTCGTTAAACTATCTACAAGCTGAGTCAAATTCTTTCTGCTCACGGTAAAATTAAACGCGCGACAAGCAGCAAACTGAAAAAAAGACACCAAAATTGGCGCTTTTTGCGGTTTTTGTCGTAAGTTTCTTGTTTTCCGATTAAGAGAAAATTAGGAAAAATCCTAATTACGCCGAGTGTAACGACAAACTATTGTATTGTTACATATATAGATAAAGAGCCGCTTTAACAGCGGTCTCTCGGGCCCCGCGACGCCTAACCGCCATAGTCCCTTGTCCACCCACAGGTCCTCAGTAATTTAGAGCGCCCTTGTTCCTTTTTAAGCCCCTTATTGTCCTTTCCTGGGCGTCTTCTTCAGTTTGGTGTCGTTACTTTTTTCTATTAAACTCCATTATCTCAGAATTATAAAATAAAATTGTATTCTAAATATAGGGTAATGAATAATAACGGTCAAATACCGCCAAAATTCAACGATTTGTACGTAATTTTGGCAATATTGCAATGCGTCTTGTCTTGTTTTAATGAAGTCTGTCTGAGGAGTACATTTTATTCATTAATTTTTAACAGAAAATTTTCCATTATTGTTTCAAAATGTGGTTTATTGACACGATTCGATAAAACTCACTATTTTATGAATTTTTCCTCTCTGAACTAAATACCCTAGTTATTAGTATATATCTAAGTTGAAAATTAAATTATTCTACAGAAGTGTATTATTTTGCAAGAGAGATACATTTATAAAATTTAAAAATAAGAGGTGAACAAAGAATATAGGACAATAATATCGAAAAAACCAGCGAAAATTAAAGTATTTTGTTTAAGCTTGGCAACATTGGAATATGTTCGATCTTATTTTATTGTTCAATTTTATTAAATTCTGCTTATGTTGTTCATTAGTATAGTCAAGAAACATTCTCTTAATCGGAAAACAAGAAACTTACGACAAAAACCGCAAAAAGCGCCAATTTTGGTGTCTTTTTTTCAGTTTGCTGCTTGTCGCGCGTTTAATTTTACCGTGAGCAGAAAGAATTTGACTCAGCTTGTAGATAGTTTAACGAGTTTTAACTGTGGAAATAACCAATTTTGTCGTCTGATCAACTCCTGGCAAGTCACAGGCTACAATCCGCCAAAAAGGCCGATTTTAAGCAATTTTTGCCAAATTTGGCAACATCTTGGTGACAATTTTTTTATGAAATGGTCAAATTCGGATTCAGCGCCAAAAATTACATAGGAAACCATGGAATTAATGCTACCCGGTGTTTTTGGAGGCTAAAATTTCTATCCGCCCGGACTCAAAAAGCGTCGTCGCTCCATAAAGCTGTTCACAAAAATGATGATATCTCGCGAACCAAAAGTTTCCCAGCGAGCTATAATATATCGATGGATGCGAAATCGAACGAACTATCGATTAGACAACTTTTTATTCAAATTTGAAGATAGCTTTTTTGGGTATTTGCGAATATGTAGCATTTGTCGAATTTAAAAATCGGAAATTTGGCAATAATGCATGTTAAAATTAATGCGACATTAAAAACATGGTCATATCCTAAAAGTGCGTAATTTTTAGAGAATTTTCGTTAAAACCGCAACTTCATAGCTCAATTTTAATGCCACTTACGGAATGTGCCTGTTTTCAACTTGGCAACGCTGTAGCGCGCGGGAAAAATTTCGGGTGAACTTGCCAATGCCGGAAAAAGGCGTGTCTTGTGATAGGGAACAACATATCCAACTCCGGGCAAAATCCAAGCGTTGGGTAAAATCGCCGATTTTGAATAACCCTCTTTTCTTCCTGTCTACTATGTAAGATCTGTTGAATTTGTTTGATTCCTTTTTCAAGTTTTTTGGTGCACCGGCACAAGTTTTTACTTTTGGGTGCATTTCAACTCTGTATTTGTTCTGAGCCTTTTGTTTTTCTATTCAATAAAATACTTGATGCAGAAAAAAATTTGAAAGACGGGAGTACGTACCCCACAGACCAGGATCATCAAAACAGGAATGATGGTTCGAAACTGTCAGAAGAGGAATGTGTGATGGCCTCTGCAAAGCCCTATGAAGGTAGTGCACATTGTGAATCTTGGGTTTATTGAACCATCCTGCAACAGTTACAGAGAATGATATCAGCTTGAAAAAACAAGTAAAAACTCGGAGAATGCGTAGAATAACAAAAAAGAAGGTTGTTGCAATTTTTGATTTTTTAAATCTGTGATTGTGAATGAATTCGATATGACATCAGCACTTTTGCAAAATCCAAAATTCAAAGAAAGGAAAACCAGCTGATTGTCATTTGAATATAATTTAACACGAATTATAATTGTTAACACTTCTAAGGGCACTTATCCCCAAAACAAGTCATTTTCCAGAAACCTAGATATATTATTGCCCATTTATGCTTACCTACTTACATCATTGATCTACCCTAAAATACCAACAATGCCACCACAGCAAAGCTGACCCTAAACATGTTGCTTTCGAGACAACTTACAGAGTCTACACTTTTCACCATTCCCAAATCAAAGGAACGTAACTACATTACAAGGTTGCAAAATTGACTGAACAATTATTTTTTTACAAGGACATGACTATGTTACAGTAGGTACCTACAAAATTTTCCTGATTTTCGCATGCTATCAGAGGAAAATTCAAAGAAACTTCCAGTTAGAAATGCCAACAGTCTCTTGGTAGAAATATAATTTGCAAGAGAAAATTTTGCAACATTTAGTTGTCCTTGCGCTCCTTTGCCTCAGAAGCGCTGATTTATTCCAAAGGTACTTGATGAGACTGGCTTAAAACATGCATGTTTGGGGACAACTTTAAAGTGAATGGGCACCTCTAGTTCAGAGGCTAATAAAGTTTACGATCATCCTTTCGAAAGAAAATCCCTTCCTAACAACTTATAAGGGTGCAGCTGCATACTTTTTCGGTGAATTTACAGAGGTCGACTGCAGTAAGGTGACAATCAATCGTAAGGCCTCTCGAGGAGTCATCAGGATTATAGGCCTTAATATATGCTAATGAAAGTCAGGCTAGTTCTTTCAGGAAACATATTTTACGGCCAGCTTGCCCAGAGTCAGTAACATCAACAGTGATTCATCATCGTTGATTCAGGTGCGAGTTATCAGTGTTGTTCGATAGGGTGGAAAATACTCCGGCATGAAGAATAAGAAAAACTTTCAGAACTGAGGTTCTAAAGAATATCACTTACGGATGAATATTTTGGCAAAGATGCCCACTGCTGCAACTGTGATTGAGCTGGCGATATTCCAAAAGAACACTGGTCTCCTCAAAGTAGGAAATACCCAGTCTATTGAGGAACCAATCTCTGATTTCCTCATTATGTACTTGGTAAAGCGAAGACTGGAGGAGTTATACGGACACTTCCATGGCAGCAATAGTAGGAGAGGAGAAGAGCGAAATTCAAATTTTACATACTGCAAAATTACAATGTTAATTAAAACAGAACCAAGAGAAAATTAAGCTCTGACAGCCTCCGTAATAAGAAAACGACCGAGGAAAAATAAGTAAGGTTAACAACAAATACAATGTTGTCAAATCAAGTCTATTCAAACTTTTATTGAGCCATGACAACACCGCGAAAAGTTGTGATTGGTCAGGTGTCTTGGCGCCTAAATCAGCGGAAAAAATGCATCAGCCAATAGACAGGCTCATATTTGGCGCGCTCTTATGGCGGTAATTTTTAAATTTTGCCCCATTTGACCAATTTCACTTGATTCTCAAATTCTCTTGATATATATGATAAAATGGTCAATTCCAGCAGCATCAATCGTTCTAAAACAAGGAAAGCATTCATTTCTAGAATCCACACCGAATAATTAAACTCATTTCTGTAAAGTGGCACGGAAAACTCATCATCTTGAACACCTACACAGTAAATTTCCGATACAAAAATTAATGAAGACAATCGATATTTTGTCTCACACGCAAAATGTCACTAATCTGTTTTGATGTAGGCAATTGAGCTTTTGCCTACCGCAGGCATAAGCTTGAAGGAAGTTTTCTTATGAAACATGTCACAAGAAACACGATGCTTGGTTCCGGGATGTTCCGTCTTCTCGGAAGAAGAAGATATATGTTTCAGGGCCGGATCTAGGGGATGGCCACATGGACCGCGGCCCATTTCGGCAAATTTTGCAATTTTTTTAAATTTAAGTATAAAAAAAATCGGATTCAGAAAAAAAACTATAAACGAGATAAGGCAACAAAATCTCTTATTTCCTGAGAGTGTAGTAATTTCTATTTTGTCGTCTTTCGGTGATACAAGAGACAGCGCGGCGCGGCGCAGAAAGCAATGATGACGAGGACTTGAGATGAAAAGAAGCCCTCGGCGCGGCGGTCGGCATGTAACACATACCTAGTAGCGCCTACAAAACTGCGTGAATACTTCACGCATTGCGTCGAGCACAGTGCGGACGGCGTGAAACGCATAGCGCCTACAAGACAGCATGAATACTTCACGCATTGCGCCAAACACAGTGCAGTCAGCGCGGCGCGGAAGCGAAAGTTGCAATTATTAACCCTCATTAATATTTATTCTCTCACGATGTTTTCGTTCATTTCTTGTAAATGCAAGGCATTGTCTACACAGAGATAGGTTTACGGAACTTAATTTTTGCGCAAAGTTCCGTGAACTTTAGCTAGTAGTGTTGATAGGGCTTTCGCAAAAAATGTGTCCAACACGAGTAAACGCGTCTTATGCACCCCTTTCCCTCCGGCACGATCACTTGATGGTTCTTTATTGCTGTCTCAAAACGACTGAGAAGGGGGCGGCACAATACACGCGGCCCATGGGCGGCAAGTAGGTAAATCCGGCCCTGATATGTTTTGCATTTTACAAAAAAGAACTAAGAGTAGTCCAATGTCGCTAAGATTGTGCAGCTTTTTTTATCTTGCAAATATAAACTGATCATCTAAACAAGTTTTATCTTTTCTCCCAATAAACTTTAAATTCAAAGACGACAAGTGCCTTCGTAAATTTAATTCTCTTCTCGCGAAGAATGTAAGTTGCACAATTCTAGCCACACTGGAATGCTCTTGGTTCCGTTTTGCAAAATGAAATCCATATTCAGCTCTTTCTCTTTGGTGCATCATTGTGGAACACGAGACCGTTAGGGTATCAAGTTCGTTTTGCAGAAAATGTTTGAGGTCATGAATGATTGCCCGATTCTTTTATAATAATACAATAAATTGAGGGGTTTGGGGGGCAAGTAGTATAAATGCAGTTTCTGCTATTTCAAGAAATACATTTTTGAAGTTTTTCGGATCAACGATGCGGTTTGGCTCCTTACTTTTGAAATTGGTCTAAATCTTTCTTTATGGGGAAAGATTTCCCCATAAGCTCATGCTTCACACGCATAATCCAGAATGTATTCCTACTTTGAGCCAGGCATAGTTATAAGTCAAGTGCCCTGACATTCACGCTTGAGTATAGCACATAAGACGAGGCAATGACATCAAGAGTGATGCATAATGATGACAGGTGACTGACACAGGACTTTTTTCCAAACTATAGACTGAAGATAGGTGAAGGACCGTGCAGAATCCCCAAACGATGTAATGACGATCGGATAAGTGCAAAGCACTTACCTAAGCGGTTACGAAATCGATACTGATCGAATCGTCGGCTGAAATCTTAAAAGAGGTCAATGTCCGATATTTAGGCCCCCGCTACTCGAACATCCATCCTAAACTGCAGCGCCAGTGCGAAGAGACGGTCCGTTCCAGAGGTTGATGACCTTCCCTATTTCCTGGATGTTGAGCCTAGCTCTCTCGTCCTGATACAGAGCGCCCAATTTGAGCGTGGGGTTATTTACCTTAAAACAATACTTTATCGCTGATCAACACTTCAAAATCCATTAGAGCACTCGTGGAGAGATGCTGACGGAACTTTAAAGCCCGGCGTTTCATGTTTCGCGAGCACTGTTCGCCAAGGGTGCGGTAGTGCGTTGCACATTTCGACACTGCAGCTGCGACGAATCTTTGCTCGAGTTGATACATCCAAGTGAGAATCTCGGGTTATTTTCAATTGGCACAGGTACGTCTTATAAGTATTTTCCGAGACAGCTTTTAAAAATTCAACCGTTTTGGAATCACGGTGATAGGGGTTTTCAGTTGTTCTTAATCAAATTAGGCGATTTAATAAAGTTAAACTTTTTATAAAAATGGACCTCTCCGCACGGAGGCAAACTGCTCAGGCGGGTAAATTTTGTCACGTTACGTAAAAAAATGGAGCTTAAATTTTTAACAGGAAATATCATCGAGGGGTAATGTCTATACCCATGGCAAGAGTCAAAGGATGCGCATGTCCATTGTTAAGTTTTTCAAAATTTCCCATTATTTTTCTTTTTTTTAAAGAGGAAACTTTTTAAAGTGCCTCCTTATATTATTTTTTTCTAGTACATTCGCATAAACTGAGAAAATCGACAAGAAATCGCATTTATTTTATTTTAATTTTAGCCTGTTGGTTAAATTTCTTTTTAAGAAAATAAAATGAGAGCGAAGATTTGCATCGCGTCAATCGAAAATGTGCATAATTTTTACTTTAAGCCACCAATATATCAATCTCGGTATTCTAGATTTGGTTTCCCTGTATTCCGTATTTCGGAGGAATATTTTGCAAGCAGTTTACTTCGAAATGTTTGACTTAACTATTGACAAAACTACGGCCAGCAACTATTCGTGCCTCCAAGCCGTTCATATTGCCATCACGGTTATTGAAGGGGAACTCGACAGAATGAAATACCCAGTGAGGAGAGTAATTTTCTAACTTAGCGCTTTAACAAAATTTGGTAAAACTTATAAAGAAAGTGCAAATATATACCAGAAGTGTTATGGGTAAATTTTTTCACCAACCCATGATAGTCTTATTATACTCCGCTCTTTGTCAATAGTGAGGAGCAAGCCATTTATGTGGCAAAGAACCTAGTATATCCCGATATTGTTTTTACTTAGGTACAAACAGAGTCAGAAAAATATGTTCGCAAATGTTTCTTCAAGCAAAAAAAAAATGTTTTTCTCTAGAGGAAAGGCGAGTCTCAAAAATTTCGATATTGCCACCTGCTGTGGTGTCAGAGAACTTCGTAGGTCAGATAAGGGCATGCAAATTTTGTGGCAGACATATGTGAGATAAAATTATCGTCATTGGTAAAATCCAGGTTAGTACTCAAAGATATCTTTATGTGGAATGGCCAACAAATCTGCAGACTGCTGTAATTGACCGAATTCATTGCCGCGATGTCTCGTACGTCTATTTTCGAGGAATCTAACACATTCTCGAAAGAAATCGTTGACAGAGATTTTTTGAGACAACAAGAACGGTTGCACATTTTCCTTTGAAATTTTGTGTGGATTCTCCCTGACAAAAACGTCCTTATCTTCTCGAAAGAAAACGCTTACTAGTTCATAGATAAAGATTAAGTCGTTATGCGGGTCGTATGCCAGTGAATAAATTACTTGAAGAAATGAGACACATTCGTTTCCTAAATATTCAATTACCAAAATTTTGATGCATTTAATTCTAGAGTTTCCTTCCTGGTGAAATTTTGAAACGAGTGTACCTGCAGCTGCCCAAAACGCAACCACGAATGCATGCAAAAGATAGCACTTACCGCTTTCTTGCCTAACACTAGCCTAACATGAAAATAAATAATATCCTTTTTATATAATTGAAATAGAATTTGTCGACTCATAATTATCTAAACGATTTCTATGAGTCTTCCGGGCAATTGTTGGCAATTTTACGAAGAACGGAGACTTCTTTAAATAAAATTTTCTGCTCCGGAGCTGTTAAGCCAATTTTCTCAAAACTTTATTTTTGCACTCATGGCTCTCTTCGCTATCCACGGCAGAAATGTTTCAAATAACGCACGAAAAAACTTAACTACATTTCAATGATACCAATTTTTCCCGCACAAACTCCTTTTCACACCGAGTGAATTTTGAAAACTTCTAACCGAAAACTCTACTGATTTCTCCTCTGACCTCATGCAAAAATTAGAAAATTTTTCAACAAAAATTGCGCAGGTATATATTTTTGTAAAGAATTGACTCGATTTTGTCAATTTTGAAACCTTGCAACGGCGTTACGTTCACTGGAAAAAAAGCACATTGGATAGGTAATAAGAGGAGTCCATTGGATTTGGAGCCCAGACTCTTAAAAACATCGACAGGAAAAAATACTCTTGATTCAATCAGATTTAAGCTTAAATCAAGAACCAAGCCTCTTAATTTGAGCGGATTTCCTTTTGATGTAAGCTTAAATCTGCTTGAATCAAGAGTCCTTTTTCTTGTCAATGTTTTCAAGAGTCTGGACTCTAGATCCAATGTAGGTATGTTTTTTTTTTTGTTTTTTTTTTTCCAGTGTTCCTGCGCTCGGGGAATGACGAATGACCCCATTTGACTTTTTTTATTTTTCACTTTGCGCGTAATCTATGAACGGCCTCTAGCTGTCCACCCATAGACACTGGGTCAGTGGACCCTTAGAACTCCGTCTATCCAAAGGACCAATCACCATCCGATTTTCCCGAGGGAAAAACTTTCATGCGCGGTGAGACCCGTTGCCTAGAGACCGGAAACAAACAGACACCGCGGGAAGATCGACGCGACGGTACACCACCACCTGTTCGACTGCGCCAGAGGGCAACAACCCCTAGTTTGTCCTTGGCGTTACATTTGACCATTGAAGGGGGGCGTCAGACACTCCGTCCGCGTCAACCGAATGAACTTGCAGGGTCAGGGGTCACTGGGTCACTGCTACCTTGCTATTCATACATCAGAATTTGAGCACCCACTCAACTGTGCGCTTGACGCGACGTGTTAGGAGAGGTCAATCATCTTTTTCACACGTCCTATCATTTTTGAGAAAATGAGATCTCGTGTCAGTCTTTGCCGATCCGTTGTGTCGTGTTTCGCCTCTCGGGAATCCCAAATTCTCTTTCTAAAAGCATTAGCATAAAAAATCTACTGAATTCTCTTTCTAAGTTTTTCATTTTTTGAGTGCCGACTCGACTTAGAGTGGGAGGGTCTAATCAAAAGATGTTCGTTATGCATCACGTGTAAAGGGAAAGAGTACTTTCTTTATTGTCTTCTTGGTTGTTGACTGAGCTGAGGTACTTGCTGCTTCAAGAATTGGTTCTTCAAATTTTTTGTATCATTCATCACGTAAAAACGTCAATATTTTTTTATCGACTGTGGTAGAATTACCGAGATAAAATGGCAAAGTTACCGGGAATTGATTACCAATAAAAGTGGTATTCTTACCTGTAAAAAACAGTAAAAATACCGGTTTTTAGGTAAGCTTACCAGCCTGTCTTGGTAAAATTACCGATAATTGGTAAAAAAAAAAGTGAGATGGTAAAGGTACCAACGGACCTTGGTAAAAACGCCGAGAATCTTTTTTCAGTGTGTGAAACTTTGATCTTAATCATGTAATGGTCACTCATTTTTGTTTCAGGATCGCGTCGGTGTCCATCGGACAAAAAGATCCGTCATTTCTTTGCCGTAAAATATTCAAAAATCCGATTTTTAAATTGAGATCGAACAATGGGACGTGTCCTGTACCATTTGCTTTCTTGCGTCCTCGGGTCGTTCAGGACGGAGGACACGAGTCCATCATCATCTTTGTCTCCGTTAGACTGGTGGCAGAATACCTTAATTTATCAGGTGTACCCCAGATCCTTCAAGGACACGGACGGAGATGGCATCGGTGATCTTAATGGTAACTTTAAATTCTTTTAAATTATCCCTCGTAAAAGTGAGTCAGCCTGCCCTGGTAAAAATTGGCGATAAGAGCTGCGTTTCAAAATACCTTAGGAATTTTCATAACCGGCTAAAGAAGGCTACAGAAAATCATATAGCTGGCTGTAGAATGCGGAGAAAATCATACGGTCGGGCTATACGAAGTGATAAAAAATTATGCAGCCGGGCTATAGTTCCTATCGCCGGGCTTTACACTTTATTGCCTGGCTGTTGCTTTTTCGCCATCGATTATAAAAGGCTATAAGAAATTGTGTAGAAATTCGTGTGCTTTGGAAATCATTAAGTTTGATACGGAACCACCTTAATATTTACAAAACACACATTATATTTTCCTGTAATACATATTTTTGTTCATCAATTAAAATGAGAATAATCCATACAGGATGTGCAAACATTTCAAAATCATGAGTTGAATAACGCTGACTCCGCCAGATTAAATATTAGAGCCTAACACAACGTGGAGCGGCGACGCACTGGCGCCTACAAACCTAACAGGGATACTTCACGCATTGCGCAACGCGTGAAGTATCCCTGTTAGGTTTGTAGGCGCCAACGCGTGTTTCGCGCTGGCTGCCCGCCTGCCCGCGCCGCAGCGTGCCACGGCGCTTGAAGCAACTATTTCACACCAAAGGTATTGCACAGCATTATACGAAACTGAAGGCGCTCTAATATATTAGTAATGACAGGCATCCATCAAAAGTACGGACCTTTCCTCGCAAAATAAATCGAGATACTCCGGCCCAAAAAGAGAGCAGTATTCGAAAAACTTACTAAGTCCTAGCATCCGTAATTAGTAACGTTTAGCATACACTTTATCGCCTGGCTATTGCTTAATCGCCATCGGCTATAAACGGCTATAAGAAATTGTGTAGCCGGCTATAGAAGCTATTGGAAATCTTACAGCCGGCTGTAGGTCTATGGTATTTTGGAACGCAGATTCTAATGCCAATTTTTTACCAAGGTGATGTCAGGCTACTTCATAAACTACCCTGAGTCTGATGACTGATACTGGCTGACATGAGCCTGAATCAGTCTAACTCAGGGTAGTTCATGAAACATAGCCTGAAGTCAACCTGATTCACTTTTACTAGGGTAGCTATAAAGCATATAATTGGCCGAAGTTTAAAACCACATATCTCTGTTGCGGTGGCAAAATTTCCGCTCTTATTTTATTTTTACAAAGGGTAAAAGCCAACTTTATAGCTTGAAATTTTTACAGAGTATTCTGCTGACCCGGAAGAAAAATCAAGGAATTTTTCAAGAAATTACGATGACTAGTTTTCCAAAGAAAACAAAAAGTATGATAATAAGTCTGCAATGTCCCAAGCGAAAATGCGATGGGCTTAGAGGACAAGGCGATAAAGTGCAGTTTTTAAGAAAATGGACCACTAGACAAGGTACGAATTTAAGCGATCTGATACATGTTTCTTAACCAGAATTTCATGTAGAACACGATTCACACAACGAAAATTACTGAAACCAACTCCTAACGAAGATATTAACGTTTTTATTTCACATTGGTTACGAGGAATTTGAACTGCCCGCTCACAAGAAACTCAAAGCTCTACGTTAGTCAAATCGCGCACTACAACGGTTTCAGCAAGCTTCTCAATCGAGCAATGTTCATTTCCCACCATGTATTGTTCAAACTATCAGCAATATGCTATAGCTGAGCCAAAGCGTCAAGATTGAGGTTGCCAGATTTTTATATCGCAGAGACTGTCATGATATAACGTTTAGCGCACGATGTGAATTACGTAGAGCATTGAGTTTTCATGAGCGGGTGGTTTGAATTCACGCATCAAGAATCATTAAATATCTTCGTGAGGAGTTGATTTCGGTAATTTTCGTTGTGCGCATCGTGTTCTACGTTAAATTTTGGTGAAGAAACATGTATCAGAATGCTGAAATTCGTACCTTGTCTAGTGGTCCATTAAGGTATTAACCATTTCAAGTAAAACTATAGTCTCAATGCATATTCTGTGAAATATTCGCTCCTAAATTCAAATTTATAAGCATCAAAAAGTCAGTTTGAACTTTCTTCCTACCATAAGGATCCATGTAATTTCGAGATTTCAAAGACGTTTTTACTCGAAATAGCAAAAACTGCACTTATGCGCCTTGTCTTCCAAGTCCCCCATACGTGGTTTTGAACTTTGACCATCGAGATCGCAATTTTCCACCCCAAGATTACTTACCCTCTTCACAATAGAGTTACCTATCATTTCGACTTCCTACACTGGAAAAATAAGTTAGGTTGCAGAGACTAAACGTAGCTCATATTGAACAAGTAAGTACTTAGGTTTAATTAATTGAAATTAACGGGCATTGGAACCCAAAATCGGTAAACTGAACCAAAGTTTGCTCTATTTGACAGAAAGCAAACTATAGCAAAACGAGATGAATCATTATCATTGGTCAAACTAAAATGTTATCTATCTTGGTTCACAACTTCGGAGAACTCTTGTTATCCTTCATTACTTCATTTGTAAAAGTATAATTAAATGATTCCTTAAATGGTACCGCATGTTTTCATACATTTTCTACGAATATTCTTTGAAAATTTCAAAGAATACCTGAAGATGGTTTGTTTATCTTTTTTATTATTTTCCTTAAGGCGAAGGTTCCAATACTTCTGCTTTTTATTTTCATGTCATCCTACTCAATAAAATGTGGAGTTAAAATATGTTCTTTTTCAGGTATTACTGAAAAACTCGATTACATTCAAGATTTGGGAGTAGACACAGTTTGGATTCAGCCTTTTTTTAAGTCACCGATGGATGATATGGGTTACGATGTCCAGGATTTCAAAGCGGTAGATCCGTTATTTGGAACAATGGAAGACTTTAAAAGATTGCTCAAAGGAATAAAAGAGAGAGGTAAGAAACTTTGGTACTAAAAGCAAAAATGTTTAATAATTGGGGGCTCATAAATAGGTCAGAAACAATTCGCGCTTTATTTGAGATAGATGAACTTTAATGTTCAAAAATAGCACTGTAGCTCTGCTGGTTTTACAATACATATATCATACTCTGTAATATGAAATCATAAGAATAATGCATTTACGACCACCTGAAGCGCGAAGCTCCGATTGGGATTTAGACCGCAAAGCGGCCAGGGGGCGTGATCGCAGCCCCCAAGTTAAAAATAAAATTCAACCAACAACAGCAAAGAATAGATCATAATATGAAATAAAAAGACAGTCTAGATGGTTACTATTTTATGGATGCATTTTTTTCTTCTCTATAAAATCTGATTAAATAGGTGTGTATCATGTACTTGTCCGAGAGGATTGAGAAATAGAGATCTCGAGGTTGAAAAGGACGAGATTCAACGATTATTATTTTTTATAGTGTTTGCTTATTATAAAAGCTGGGCATCATTTGCAGTTATCCAAAAGGTACAGAAAATTCACGAAAAAGAGGAAAACATACGTGCAAATCTGACATGGATCTATTAATCGTCCTCACTGACCGTTAAATCAAGAACATTTTTTGGCTCCTTCTCTAATTGAACTAATTTTTTTTACTAAACTCTGACACACTCTTGCTTTGTATCACAAAAACACCTTGCGTGTTTTTCGTGGTTATCCTGAAGTGATCTGCGGTATGGAAAAAGTGAGAAAGGGATGCAAATAAATTCGTAAATTTTCCATTCGCGAACGCGAATACTTCGCAATTGCGGAATTTAAACTCCGTATTTGCGGTTAGATTGCAATATCCAATGAAGTACTCTTTATCTTATTCAAACCGATAAAGAGATCAATCGATCCGCGAAAAATCAACAACAATCACGTTCTGATCACACGACATCAGAATTCATGGTTTCAAGAGCACTCGACTCGGCTCTGATTGGCTGCCACGAAGAAACTATCCGAACTCCATTTTGAGGGCCAATCTCACTGCCGAACTTCATTACTTTTTTATCGTGAGAGCTCATTTTGGTATGCTTGCGCACCAATTGGGACGGCTGTACGGAAAAAAAGAGAAAAAACTCGACGCTAGGCTCCACCCTCTGGTCTGTTGACCACTCCCATCAATGAGTGTTCTATGTTTGATTAATACCGAAATGAGTTTCAAAATTAAAATCACTTGCGCAAAAACCCACAGCAATATTACCACTACACGTGTACTGCCGTGCCAAGGAAGAACGCCGTATGAACATTCGAGAGTTGCCAAATTTACTTCGATGAAATGCTTATTTTTGAAGGAAGTTATGAATATTTTTCCTTTAAATTTTCAGAATCTTTGGGTAAAATTGTGAACAATATTATCTGAAAAATTGAGAGGAAAATAGTCATAAGTTTACCAGGAAATTCGCGTTTAATGATAGGAAATTGGGCAACGCCTGAAGGTTCATGCGGCGTTTTTCCTTAGCACGGCAGTATAAGCCAATATGCAGCCCAAGCAAGATATTTTTACTGCGCCAACTAGCTTACTGCTTGGCAAGTTAGGTATCTCATGAGGAAATTGAATTTCCTAAAGTTTGGTATGTCGAGCTTTGAGCTCTTTTTAAAGTCATTTTATTTTGTTTTCAAATTTTTTGTTGTTTAATGGTCTATTTATTTATTTTTTTTTTTAAAAAATTATTGTTGTTCTTATCGCCCAGTGAACTTACTACACGGGTCTTTTAAATCACAAAAAGTTCTTCTCATTTTGGAAAGGTGGCGCAACTTCAAACATTTACTCGGAACTAATGTGTGCTCATACGAGGAGTAATTTTAAATTCACTTTGACGCAATGATTTTTCTGTAAAAGTCTTACAATTAGTTTAGCAGACTTGTCTTTACAAGACTGCTGAATTCAGACATCCTAATGACCTCTGACACCTCTATGAACAGAATTGAATCTCGCCTTCCACTTGCTGGGGGGAGTTTTTAAGGATTGGACCGGGGTGGCTATATACCACCTTGAACAGAAACGTGATGCAATAGATACCCACTCAGTGTCGATTCTTCTCTGTAAGTTAAATTGACAACCTAGGTTACTTCATTTACTCGCCTCAAAGTTAATGTTCAATACTTCCTACGATTTGAAAGGAAGACCAGGTGAAATTAATTATTAGGTTCCGTTAATTTGACGGAAAGATAATTTTAATTTTTCTTTTTATAACATTTTTTTCTTGTTCCCTCAGGAATGAAAGTTATACTGGACTTTGTGGTAAATCACACAAGCGATCAATGCGAGTGGTTCCAACTTTCCGAGCAGGGGGTTGAACCTTACAAGGATTATTATGTTTGGAGGGACGCGAAGAAGTTCAACGACACCCATAAAACCTACCCAAATAATTGGGTAAGTTCACGGACGGATTCTTTTAAAAAAATTTCAGGAGGGCCAGAGTTACGGCCTAGGTTCGGTCAACAGTAAATCGACATTCTAAATTAATTAAGACATTAGCTTATTTAATTATTTGAGGCATGGCCGGATTTACCTATACTTGCCGCCCATGGGCCGCCTGTATTTTCCCGGCCTCTTCTCATTCATTTTGAAACATCAATAAAAACCATCAAGTGAACGTGCCGGAGGGAGAAGGGTGCATAAGACGCGTTCACTCATGATGGACACATTTTTTGCGTAAGCCCTGTCAACACTACTAGCAAAAGTTCACGGAACTTCGCGCGAAAGTTCAGTTCCGTAGACCTATCTCTGTGGGGACAAGGTCTTTTATTTGTAAGAATTGAACTAAAAAATTTAGAGGGAACAAACATAAATCGACGGCGAAAGTCGGCAATCACATAACTCGTTTGCGGTGTCTGAAAATCTCCGCCTCTATGTTATTTTTTTTAAAGAAGAACAAATTGACATCATCCCTTGAAGTGTTTGCAGAATTTTCTTCGCGTCGAGAAGAAAAATCACAGCAGTTTTAAAGAGTTGCCGTTGAGTAGTTTTCCGTTTACAAAATAAAGTATGAAACGAAATCTACGACGTCGCAAACCGAGTTATGTGATTGCCGACTTACACCGTCGAAATGTGGTTTAATAATTTTAACTTCCGCCGCCGTGCCGCGCTTACCACACTGTGTTTGGCGCAATGCGTGAAGTATTCATGCAGTCTCGTAGGCGCTAATATGTGTTACATGCCGACCGCCGCGTCGAGGGCTTTTCCTTTTCATCTCAAGTCCTCGTCATCACTTCTCTTTGCGCCGCGCCGCTCCAGGCCAAATTACGTGTTTGGTTTCTCTCTTAACTCAACTAATTAAAAGTGCGCAGTCTCCTGTATCACCGAAATGCTACAAAATTAGAAATTAATGAACTCTCAGGAAATAAGAGATTTTTTCACCTTTTCTTGTTTGTAATTTTTTTCTGAATCCGATTTTTTTGTACTTGCATTTAAAAAAATTGCAAAATTTGCCGCCCCTTAATTTTGCCGCCATGGGCCGCCGCCCATGCGACCACCCCCTTAATCCGGCCCTGATTTGAGGGTCGTTTTATTTTACGCAAGTTTTTGCGATAAGCCTTTAGACTGGATGAGCACTAAGGCCTGATAACTACTCTGCAGTGCTGAGGAAGAACGCCGTATGAACACTCGAGGGTTGTCAAATTTCCTCCAATAAAATGTTTATTTTTGAGGAAAGTTTCGAATAATTTTCCTTGAAATTTTCAGGAACTTTAGGTGAAATTGCGAACAATATTATCTGAAAAATTGGAAGAAATATATTTATAAGTTTACCAGGAAATTCGTGTTTTATCAATCGAAATTTGGCGACGCCTAAAGGTTCATACGGCGTTTTTTCTTAGCATGACAGTACTAACATTAAATTATTATCACCCAAATTTCAAACAGGTAGCATAGTGAACACTGAGCAAATTGAAATTTTCTAAAATCAGCGGAGAACTTATGCACACTAATTTACAGCAGCGCACAAATGAGTGAATTGGCCTCTTTCTTAAAGTAGTCAACTCAAAATCTCAACGTAACTTTCTACTTTTTCTTTTCCATTTCAGTCGAGCATGTTTCACGGCACAGCCTGGCAATGGAGTGAAATGAGGAAGCAGTATTATTTGCATCAGTTTTCTGTCCAACAACCGGACTTGAACTACCGCAATCCGAGAGTGGTTAAGGAAATGGAAGTACGTTGAAGTATCAGCGGTTTTCTCTTTTCATTGACTTTCAGAGGCGTCATTTCATCAAAATCTGAGGGGAGGGGGGGATGACCTCTTTTTTTTTGGCTCGTCAAAATAACATTGCTCAACCCTAATGCTCCGAAAATATTTCGCTTTTCTCACGCTATGATTCAAAACTTACGAATGAGAGTTTTAAAAAAATCAATTTTTCAGAAAAATTAATTCGTTTTCTTTGTTTTCTGTCGAAACCTTTTATAAAACGCTGAGGAAGGGCAAACACCAGTGGCGTGGCGTGCTTTGCAATATATCGATTGATCTGCTTTTAAACCTATGGAAAATGATCGATAAACAGGGTGTTCGCAGCGAACACCTTAATAATCGATTCTTTACCATAGTTACGAATGAAGAAATATCAATAATCGATCATTCACACCCCTCTCCCTTCCTGACGCCATTGTTGACTTTCAAGTCCTATTCATCATCCTAAAAAATATTGCCACTATAACTCTGCAGTCTTCGAGGATGGAGTAAAGGATTCGACATGAAACACTTAATATTATGCATTTTATTGATTGTAAGAAATTTCATCAAAAATATTATAACCAGCTTTCGATGCTAAAAACTTCTTAAAGCATTGGATCAAAGAGTCATTCATAATCTGTGCGACTCGCTATAATCAAATTGTCTCTAAAATTAGTAAGGATACCTACGAATTTTCCTACAAAATCTTAAAAAAATTACATTAATTGGTTCCATTTCAGAGTGTCATGAGATTTTGGCTGGACATGGGTGTAGATGGTTTTAGATTGGACGCACCGAAGCACATGTTCGAATCTGAGCACTTTCTTGACGAGCCGGACATCAAAGGAACATTCGGTTGGCCGGCTCGAATCTACACGACGCGTCTGCCTGAGACCTTTGCGCAGATTAGAGCTTGGAGAGCCCTCCTTGACGAGTACACTGCAAAAGATGGACAGGCTAGGTAAAAGTTCTATTGTCATCTGCAGCTTGGTTTTACCTCTGAAAATGCAAGAAAATGATGAAATCGTTTAAAAAAATAATTAAAATAACTATTCCGGTCAAGTCTAGAGTCCCTTTATAATCAGAGTTAACAGATGTGGAATCCACTTGCGATCGATTTCCATTTAAGTCTCCATGGTGTCACAAACAGTCGCAAAGTTTACATTTTCAATGACTGCAAAGATTATAAACTTAAATTGATGGAGGGACAAGGAGTAGCTAATGGAATGCATGGAATGAGAGAGAGAACGGAATAAAAAGTTCAGAAATGAGTTAGTCAAGGATTATGAAGAGCGTCACAAACTTCTTGATCTCTCTGACCGTTACAGTGACATAAGGGCCCGATATATGTGTAATTTATCCTAAAGTACCTGAAAATTAATTTCAAGGCAAAATATTCGACTTTCTCGTGAAAAATGAATATATTATCAGCGAATTTTGTCAACGTTTGGATAGTCATGAGACTTTTTTTCTATTGCGGTAGCATTTGAAAGGCGCGTTGCTGACAGCGCGAGTGTGCTGAGCGCAAGGAATTCAAAGCGCCTTCAATTTTCTTGCATGCAACACTGACACACACTGAGTACGAAGTACGAATAGTTGTATTCAGGCGCTGTGTCACAAAAGGCTGGTAATTTGTAGTCTACAGAGCCCTCAAGAGTACAAAAATGTCAGTGAGCATCAAGTAACGTTACATGAGCAAGCTTTTAAAGATTTCGATGATTATTACATATTCTCTGACTACGAATTGGACGTAACGATACTCGTCAATTTTTCCCTCTTTTGTTTCATAATAATTAATTAGAGGCACCTAGGCGTCATCCTTGCGTTTGGGGTTAACTCCGGAGGGTATGGATTCGATCGACATGAATCGATCGAAAAATGAGAACGTGAATCGATCGACAAATCATTAAAAAACCAGTGTCGATTCGATCGATTCATGTCGATCGAAAAACAAGAAGGTGAATCTTTCGACGTGAATCAATCGACACCGATTCGATCGACAAAATCCGATCGATTCACGGGCTTGTCGATCGATTCACTAGTTGTCGATCGATTCACGGGTTCATTAATCGATTCACGGGTTCGTCGATCGATTCATGGGTTTGTCGATCGATTCACGGGTTTGTCGATCGACTCGCGGGTTTGCCGATCGATTCACGAGTTCATCAATCGATTCATGGGTTTGTCGATTGATTCATGGGTTTGGCGATCGATTCACGGTTGTCGATCAATTCACGTTTTCAGTTTTTAATCCTTTAATGTCGAATGAATCGGTGTCGAATGATTCACGTCGATCGATCCACGTTCTTGTTTTTCGACCGATTCATGTCGATCGAATCGACACCGGGTTTTCAATAATTTTTCGATCTATTCACGTTTTCATTTTTCGATCGATTCATGTCAATTGAGTCCTCCTTATGTCCAACATCTCGACAAACCGCAATCCCATAAAAACACACCCATTAAAATTAGCAATTATACAATTCAAGAATTTCAACTTTAAATTAAAACTCTGATTAAATAATGCGTGATTTTTTCCTGCAGGATTTTATGTACAGAAGATTATGAGGTGCCGACCATGCTCAAAGATTACCTCGGCGATGCAGCCCATCCAGGCGCCCAGATTCCGTTCTACTTCCTTCTGGTCTTCTCAGACAGGAAAACCAATGCTACTAAGCTGAACCAAATCATCCAGGACCTAGTAACAGTCTTCCCACGAAGCGCTTGGAACTGGGTGGTGAGTATTTTATAGCTCAGCACCAAAAGTTTAACAATTTTGTAAGAATAAGAAACTTGAGTCAACTGAAAAGATCAAACGTGGGGCTGGGAGGCAAGGCGCAGAAGTGCAGTTTTTGAAAAAATTAAGATATTTATGATTTTAAGCAAAACTTGTCTTGATGCATGCTCTGTGAAACATTCGCCCCCCCCCCCCAAATTCCAATTCTTAAGCATCAAAAAGTCAGTTCAAACTTTCTCGCCGCTATATGGATCTTCGTAATTTCGAAACTTTAAACACGTATTTCTCGAAATAGCAGAATCTGCTCTTATGCGCCTCGTCCTTTAAGCCCCTCAAGTGCCATCGGTGAGAAAGAATTAGACATATTGGTCTAAACGCCACTTCCACGGCTGATATTTAAAGTTAGTGATGAAACTTTCGGATTTGGTTCCTCAACGTTCATCCCTAGGGGCTGATTGTTAAAATTGGTAGACAAAGCGATAGACAAAGAAGACAACAGGGATAAACAGAGATCCTATTGGTGGAAGCGGGTGGTTGCAATGGCCAAAGTAATAGACTATAATTAACGACAACCTACGGGAGACCCGATAGTTAGTCCATACTTTTCTCCCTCAGTTTATAGGAGCGACCGATTTCAACCAATAGGATCGCTCAATACTCCCTGTGTCTTCTTTGTCTGTCACTTTGTTTACCAATTTAAACGATCAGCGAATTAGATCGAGGCAAGAATCTATCGCCTTTATTTGTAAAAGTATCCGACGAATTCGGGACAATTAATGGCTCAATTTTGGGAATACTGGTGTTTGTGATTCCCCTCCCGAAAGGGCACGACAATTCGACATGCACTCATTTCGATTTACTTTTCAATATTTTTCGTGACTATAGACTGTCGTATGTGAGATTGAGTATGGATTTTCAGACGGACAACCACGATAATTGGCGAGTATCCTCGTGGTTTTCGAGGGAGGCCGTTGACGCGTTCAACATGCTGAACCTGCTGCTCCCTGGGTCGGCGAGCGTGTACCAAGGCAGCGAGTTGGCCATGCACGACATCCCCGTGCGACCGGATCAACGCCAGGACCCCCTCAACGGAGGCCCCGGTCGGGCTGACAGTCGGGACGCGCACAGGGCGCCCATGCCCTGGGACTCGTCTAGAAATGCGGGTTGGTATTCGCCCTGAGTACCGAATTCAGAGTAGCTTTTCAGTTATACCTGTAGATGGTAGCCAAAAAATGGAACCGACGATTTTCATGTCAAAAAAGCGCCTTGCCGTACCATAGATGGATTTTCGGATGGGGGGAAGAGGGAGGGGTGGAGGGGGTGGAGAAGGTGTAGAAGGTGGAGGGGGTGGAGAAGGTGTAGAAGGTGGAGAAGGTGTAGAAGGTGGAGGGGGTGGAGAAGGTGGAGTAGGTGGAGAAGGTGGAGAAGGTGGAGAAGGTGGAGGGATGGAGGGGTGGAGGGGTGGAGGGGTTGAGGGGAGGAGGAGAGGGGGAGGGGCTTCCCAAAAGACAAACATAGACTTTCCCATTCTGCCATGCTAAGGAAAAACGCCGTATGAACATGAACATTCGAGAGTTTCCGAAGTTCCCTTGATAAAATATGTATTTTTGACAACATTCATGCATATTTTTCCTTGAAATTTTCCGATATTTTAGATTAAATTGCGTGCAAAATTGTCTGAAAAGTTTGGAAAATAATTTTCGAAATTATCCTTGCCATTTCGGTTTTTATCGGAGGAAATTAGGCAACGCCTGAAGGCTCATACGGCGTTCTTCCTTAGCACGGCAGGATCTGCAGGTGATAACGAAAGAAACGAAACCGAGGATTTTCACGTTGTAAAAGCGCCTTGCCACCATAAGTGGATTTTCGAATGGGGAAGAGGGAGGATGGGGGGAGGGGGAGGGGCTCCCAAAAGACAAATAAAGACCCTCCTACATTGGCCTCTTGGCGACAGATGGAAACTGTTATTTTCGGGGATTCAACACTTCCTCGTGGACAATTACAATAGAGGAGCAACAGTTTGAGTATAATTTACAATTTGAAACTACAATTTTTGACTCACCTATAAAAACATTTATGTGCATAGAAAAAGTAAAGGAACAATAAATTTTTCTAAACTGCGCCAGATATTGTAATTCCTAATTGCAAAATGTAGTCCACTCCAGACTTACAAACTGATTCCTGATTAAAGTTCAGAAGTCTCCCGCCTTCTTAATATTTTCACCGAAATAGAGTACTATGTAAATGGGAAAATTTTAAACATAAACAAAGAAACATTAAGTTCTTAAGCTCGGACTGCTATTGTTCTAAGTCCTATTCCAGATCTCAATATCATCCTTACTGAAAAAGTGCCCAATTGAAGGCATTAAAATCGGCCAAGATTTTTTTTTTTTACTTATTTATTTATTCTTACAGGTTTCTCGAAAGCTCGAAAGCCGTGGCTCCCTGTCCACCCAAGTTATTGGACATCGAACGTAGAAATCCAGGAAAATGACCCCGATAGCCATCTCAACACCTTCAAAAGAATCGTCGCTCTTAGAAAAACGCCGGTTGTCAGACTCGGCGATCTGAAAACCTACACCCCAAAGGATTGGGTTTTTATGTTCACAAGGTAAACATTAAACAAATTGGATGATAATTTAATAAGTCCTTTGGGACCAAAGGATCTCCAAAGAGAACAAAAGGAGGATTTACAACGCGATTGTCAAGAGCATAGTAACCTACGGGTGTGAAGTATGGCCGATGAAACAGCGGACCCGGGAGGTTTTAGAGGCAACAGAGATGGACTTCTGGCGTAGATCCGCTGGTATTTCCAGAAAGGATCGCGTCAGGAATGAGACGGTACGGGATATCATGGATGCCAAGCAGACCATCGTGCATGACATTATGACAAAACAACTCATCTGGTATGGTCATGTCCAGAGAATGGCAGGAGACAGGTTGCCGAAGAAGGTCCTTGACTGGGTTCCTCCTGGGAGAAGACGCAGAGGGCGCCCAATGAAAGGTTGGAGGGACGGGATTGAAGCAGAAATGTTGAGGTGCTCAATCCCCCAAGATTTGTGGTTTGAAAGAGAGCAGTGGAGGTTAGGAGTCGTAGAGCGCGAGGGAGTGCTGTAAAGCGACTTGTATGTATGTATGTATGATAATTTACGGACTCAATGTCGAAATATATGTGAAAAATTGAGGCAAAATATGCCTCAAGGTAGGAACTTAACCCTTAGATGTCCAAGTCGGGTCAAATTTTATTGACCCGAGCCTTCCTAAAAACACGTGGCCTGCGGGTTGTTCAGGGTCGGTACATACAAACCTTAGATTTAGCTGTACAAATAAATCGTAAAAAAAGAATCAGAGCTCAAATCGAAAAGAAGAAAGAATCGAGTGTCAACACAGTCGAAGATAGGAGAGACGTAATTGGTCCTTATTCCTCCCGAATCTGAGCGACACTTCTTTGGCAGCATTGAGCGGGGTTTTCCAAGCTCGCGCCGCGAGCCAGGGCGCCTTCAATTTTGCAGATGCAACACGGGCATCCATCAAACACGAATAGTCGTATCTCTGCGCCGTCATCGACGCAAGTCCTCTCTCGAGCTCTATGTCCATGTGCTGTTTTTTTTTCGACCAAATGATGCAAAGTTAAAATTTCCAAGGTGTGTGTGGCAATGTGGCAGGTAGCTGGTAGCTGTCACATTTTTCCTCCAGCTTTTTCGCTTGACTACGTCACATGTAACGACGTTGGCAGTAAAACAAGTATCTCAGTTTGCGATATTTAATGGAGACTGATTAATTTATTAATTAATTAATCAATTTTTTAATTAATTATTTATTGGAATTTTCACTGATATTTTTTTCACGAGCACAATATTTTGTGGAATTTTTTAAACGTGGTCTGTATGCGTTTTATTCGCTTTTCTTTTTTAGATATGACCACACTGGGGACTTTAAAAAACGAAAATGCAAGTAATAACTAGGGTGCCCACGAGGAAAGTTTTATAAATGCCTCAACATTTTTTTTTTTTTTTTTTTTTTTTTTTTTAATTTATTGTTTTTAATGATGTATGAATTGGAAAAATTCACTCAGTAGGCTCATTATGACTCGTATACTTTTCAGGTCCCTTAAGGATGAAACAATCGTTGTGCTGCTGAACATCGGCTCTGAAACAGAAGATGTCTGTGTGAAAGACGTCGCTCCAAAACTGCCCGATGAAATGTTTGTTCGCGTGAAAAGTATTGGTTCCCTGCACGACGTAGGGTAAGAGTTTTTGTTTGGTCAACTCATTTTAAGAAAACCCGCGAAAAAATAGCCAGTAATTGTGCAGCGGAAATTTTTCACCTCGTAGGAGCAGTAAAGGCTAAAATTTCCCAAAATTTTGATGACTGATAATGGGACGTAGCTCAAGTTTCTTTTTACTGTATTGCACGTAAATTTAGTTTTGGGTGTTCGGCGGTTTTAGAAACCAGTTCTGCCGGTTCCTCGTGAAAAAATTAATGCCACCTCGGCAAAAGTAATTTTGTTTTAAAAAAATATCTTTTCCGTGATATATGTGTTACACTCATACAAACTTTACTTGCATAGAGCTCAAGTGAATACTTGAAAAATACTTTAAAAAAATAAAATTGGAATAATACTTGGAAAATACTTCATGATCTAGAGGCGTAAAATCCCACCATTATTTAAAAAATTACTTACTTAAGGATGTTTTCAGAGCATTTAAAAATAAATAAATAAATAAATAAATAAATAAATAAATAAATAAATAAATAAATAAATAAATAAATGAAGGAGAATAGGACAGTTACCTGAACTACTTGGTCACCATTGAATCAAAAACCAAAAAGAGTCGTCGATTTGATTTTTTGGAGCCCAAAGTTTTATCATTTTAAGTGGTCCCGCCAAATCAGTAAGAACTAAACACTTTTGAGAGGCTAAAAACGCTTTTATTGCCCAATGATAAAAGTGTCAATTTTTTATTTCCTGTGTGACCCGCTAAACGTGATCTCCGAATGTAACGTCATTTAATCATTCCCGCATTCTCATTTTAACCGCTTAGTATTACTTGAAAATAGTGAAATGGTCCAAAATAATTAGGAATCGTAAAAATACATAACATAATACATATCAATAGCACAATATCAGGAATCTTATGGTATCAATCAAATGCATTGAATGTGCAGTGCACTATAATCTCTTAGGGAAGCGACAATACCAGACCAAATCAGCCCATGCAAGTTTGAACGTGGCGGAAGCCATACAAGCGCACGGAAAAGAACTGGCCTAGGCGCTGGTTGAGTGCCAGAAATTCAGAGCGCCTTCAATTTTTCTGGATGCAACGCAGGCATCCGTTGAGTACGAATAGTTGTATCAAGGCGCTATAACCAACTTCGCGCATTTTATCGTTAGTTTAGTTCAATCTATTGCCACTTTTGATCGATAAATCCATTTTTTTTGCCTCATAAATCGCAATGATTTTAATTTATCCGTCGGTGTTTTTGTTCCAGGAAAAAACTGAGGCTTGGACCAGGCTCTCATGGCTCAAAGTGCATCGAAATGCGGCCACAATCAGGATTAGTTCTTAGCACAAGTCATGGAGCTGCTATTTCTTTTTCGCTCTTTATGCTACTTCTTACGATAGTTTCAACAATGATATCCTGAGTTTACTGCAAAATGACATTTCACACAATGTCATTATCATGAAATCTACCGTATTGGGTCAGGATAGAATTGTCTTACTGTATCAATACTCACACTTGGACTACATTTTGCAATAGGGGACTGCTATTTCTAACTCACTATAGAAACAATGTATGCACCATTAGTTTTCCTATGGAGGTGCGTGTTTGTACGGATGAGCCAGAAATTGTAGCTTCTAATCGCAAAATGTAGTCTAACTAGTTCCCAGGTTTATTTGAAACTTCCTTGATTTAGAAATCTGCAAATCAGAATTTTCAATCTTTATATAATTTTTATTGTGCTTTTATTTTTCTTTCTATTTTAAAAGAGACTTTAACGACTGGAAATATTGTAAATATGTATGGTTGATTAACTTCATCTTTGACTGTGTTATTATCCTTCACTAACCAATCAAAATTTGAAACGATTTTTTAGGAGTTTAAAACACTACACAAGAGTAAAATTTAAGATTCTAAAAAATTTAAAAAACTTTTAAGACAATTTTTGGACCACTCACTTGCATAAAATCTTCTTTTCACAGAAGCGGACGCGTTTCGGAGGTTACCTGCCCTCCATCATCGGCGCGACAGATGATCGGCGCGATCATGAGTCGCGCCGATGATGGAGGGCAAGTAACCTCCGAAACGCGTCCGCTTCTGTGAAAAGAAGATTTTATGCAAGTGAGTGGTCCAAAAATTGTCTTAAAAGTTTTTTAAATTTTTTAGAATCTTCAATCAAAATTTATTTTAGAAAAAAACTCATGAGGCTTTCATGCAGATTTTGTATAGTTTCCTATTTTATTTCTCGAATTTTTATCTGTTGATATTTTTCTCTCGAGTATGTTCCTAATTTTGTTGAAGTTTGTTTTAAAGTTTTTCCTCGTGATTTGACTTGTTTCAATTATCGATACAATTTAATGATTAAAATTTTACTATTTTCGTTCAATCTCCTCGATTTATTTCAGTCCAGTTTAAACAGAGTTTACCTAAAAATACTTTTTCACAGGAATAATGAAATAAAATGTTTATGTTTTGTTTCTCTTCCTCTCTCATTTATTTACGTAGAGGATAATTTTGTTTTAAAACTTTGTTTGAGATTGGATAAGTATCGAAAATAATTTCAGGATACTAGAGACAGAAAATACATACACTCAATTTCTAAGGAGTTCGTATCCACTAAAGTTGTCTTCATTTTTATCCATCGATAGGACCTGCGGTATACCACTAGTGCTGATCAAAAATGTATCGGATGAATTGTTATTTTACGAAATGAAAATGGTTGGAGCCAGGAAGGCTACATTGTATTGGAACGTTGGCGAAATGTTATTTGAAAATTTATAAAACCTACCCGAGGACGAAATTTGTTTGAGATCTAACAAAGATTCCCTAACATTTTCAAGTTGATACATTCACCCGTTGATGATCGGTGATCAAGGATTGCGCGAAAGGTCTAAGAAAATATATGAGGATTCCGCAAAAAAGACACAAGGATTGCGCGAGTAGAAACCTTAACATCTGCTACAGGAACGCGTGAATTTAAAATGATGTTAATTTAAAATAGAAGTTTGGCAAAACAGGAAACAGTTGGTAAATAAACGCATTTTTATGATAGTTGAGTCTAGTTTGTTGACAACGTACCTTCTGATGATTAATGAAGTGAAAAGATTCAATAATGGACGTGGGTATACAGAAATTTCCTACCTTTTGTCGGAAAAAGTATTTAATCGGGAGAAACGAGGTAACGTTGGAATGCTCATACGGTGTCAAAACACAACATGGGCCCTCTTAACCCCAGTATTCGATGCCGCGATTATTCTAACGCGAGTCCGAATAATCGCGCCAAACAAAGTGGGGCCGGCCGGCGTTAAACACATATTAGTGCCTGCAAGACTAGAGAAATACTTCACGCATTGCGCCAAACGGTGCGGTCGGCGTCAAGCCCATATCAGCGCCTACAAGACTGCATGAATACTTCTGGCATTGCGCCAAACGCAGTGCAGTCGCAAGCAGCCACAGGCGGCAGGCCCCTCGTTCACTTTTTGAATGTCTATGGAAGCTCTCTGAGTCATTCGTGCTATGGGAGCTCTTCATCGAAGAGAGACATTCCCCTATGAAGAGGCAATTAACAGTCTTCCACGATGTAGTTATCTACCACAAACTACTAAGGTTGCCAGATTAACGCTTCCTCGTTAAATTTTGAGTATTCTCGCAAACGTGTGAGTTTTCGGCACCAGAAAAATCCTATGCATCTCCAAAAAGGTAAGAAGATGGGCATTCACGCACTCCTATCGCAGCCTTGATCATAAAAGAATTGAGTTCTTAGGTGAAATTTTATAATCGTAATTTGGCCACTTTCACTCTTACAGTCCTACCCCCTCAATTAAATCGTTGCGTGCTAAAAAGACTTAAGTCCAAAAACTCTTTAGCCCTGGCTCTCATAGAATACGTAGGGCGTTAGGACTCACGATTCTTTGGATTCACGCCCTCTTAGCTGGCATCGATTCAGTTGGTTTTTGGTGATAATAAACATGTAAGATGCTCTGAAAATGTTATACTTGCAGTACTCCCTGTGATGAAACAGGAATCTCTCATTGACACTTCGAATGCAATAAGAACGGTAAAGCCGTACACCTTAAATACTGATCGTTTAGACACAGCGCCAAACTGAATCAGACTCGTTTTTTTACGGGTGGCGTGGTTTAGTAAGACTCCACTTTTTTAACCGATTGAAAACTGTGAGAACTAACTCTAGCATACGATTTTGAGAATTTTATGGGAGATTTCAAGACAGTATAAAAATATTGATTGATCAAAATTCATGAAAAATAAAAATCTGTTAAGAGAAGAAGAACACGGACCATCAATATTTGCATTTTAAATTTGGTGGGAAATCATTATGATCATGTGTAATTAAATCGGTTGGATGAGGTATATTTACATACGATAAGAGTAGTAATCTTGATTCTTTGACCGCAAGAACTTTATAAAAGTGAGTATGAACTTTTAAAATTGTAATTTTCTTACAGATTATGTGGATTCCATGACATATCAGACAAGAAAAAATCGTGAAAATCGTGCAGCATGAGACGGGAGTAAATTGAAAAAGAAAAAAAATCGTCTTTGTCCAGTGCTATTCCCGGACTATATCCTTTCTTTCTATTTTTTTTCTTTTTATCTCTCTCTCGCGTGAGCTATTTGCCATTTTTGCGAAAAAAGTGATTTTTGGGACCGATGACCTGTTGAACATCATGTTGCAACCAAGTGAAAAATGGAATTCCTGGTGGATATAAAACGTCTTCAAATTCGAAGAATGCTCAAAGACATACATGTTGCCGGACACCATGTAAGCAGTGAAGTAAGGCACCACGCACGCACTCTTCAGAGATACAGGACGAATAATTAAAGATCTTCATCACCAAGATTCAGCCCACCACCACTTCATCAACACCATTTTAGTCGAAACTTAGCCACAGACCTTAATGATTGTGCTCACTGCATTCTCACTGTGCTAGACGGCATTTTTTGTTATGCCTCCCTTACGGTGAGATGGAATGGTGGATCAAAGTTAATTTTTTAAATTATTCGTGATCCCGTCATTTTGAGCACACTTCCCTTACGATTTTTTTCAAGGGAAGATACACAAATTTCTACCCAGATTTTAAAATGACTCCAATACACACGCTAACCTAATTTGATATTTATACGTGATAACTGGCAAGATCGTTGTTCCAGCCTCCAAATCAAAAAGAGATGCCATGTGTTTGAACTAAAGTACTGTCGTGCTAAGGAAGAGCGCTGTATGAACCTTCAGACGTTACCATATTTCCTTAAAAAAAAACCGAATTTACTGAAAAAAGTGTGAATATTTTCCCACAAATTTGTCGGTCAATTTTGTTCACGATTTAATCTAAAACATCTTAAAATTTCAAGAAAAAATATGCATAACTTTCCTCAAAAATACACGTTTTATTCGAAGAAATTCGGCAACTCTCGAATGTTCATGCGGCCTTTTGCCTCAGCACGGCAGAGTAGGTACCTAGATGAAAATAGTGCGGATATGTCAAAATATGGGGCTTCAAAGGTTCAAAACGGCAGCCAACCTTCTAACTCAAAAAACCCTAGAAAGATACTGCTGCCAATCTTCAGATTACAATATCAAACCAAGATGGCTAAGAATGTTTATAAATGAGCGCTCTTGCGCAAAAATGAGCAAATTTAAGCAAAACCCAAGTCAAATACGTGCTTTACAAACGACGGTATGTAACAATTGTAATAACAAATCACTACGAATAATTTGAGTTTTAAGGTTGGCTACCCTTTTGGGCCCTAAAAGCTCCATGACCTAACCTCCAAAATTAACAAAATGTTTGTACTCTCCGTATGATGGCACTCTACTCTGAACTGAAGAATTTTGCACGATCGTAAACACTCTCAAAAGCGTGAACGCGGCGAAATGGCGGGAGTGGGGCAAGGAAGAGGGCGGGGGGTCGAAAAAATCCGTTTATTATTGAAAATATTATCTCATTTCTACGGTTATTAAGACTAATCTCCAAGCGACAGCGCATCGGCGTCACTCGGCGATCCATCAATCAAAATGGGCTCGAGTATTTCGGAGCCGCCGATGACGCACCCCCCCCCCCCCTTACCCCNTCTTACCCCGCTTGAGTGACGTTTGACACTCGTTCATCAAACGGATTCGATTTTCGTCGAGATTTTCTGCACTCTCCGCGTTTGTGAGCTTTTGTTGCGTTGATTGTTATTTTTTTTTATATTTGTTTCTCGGTATAGTTAACTTTGCACCCCTACCTTTTACTCGAAAAACAAGTTTGAATTCTGGCCGAATCGCTGAAAGCTCTCCCGCGAATTGTATCAGTGATCGAAGTGCTTTTTGTGATCAGCAGTGGCTGAGTGCGTTGACTTCTGCTTCTAACAGGAGCAAATTGTGATAATTCTGCACTTTTAAGCTAACTTAATTTTTTTGACGTCTGGACACCAAGAAACGAATTGATAACTAACGCTTAAAAATTTAGGTGAGTTTTACGCCATGATCTACAATTAGGTCTACAAAGACTAGGTGACGCAGTCTGAGTACAGCGTTACTTGCATTCTTCTTCATTCTTCCATTGTTGAAAATCGAGTGGGTGGTGAATTTGGTGCCGTAGCCTATACTGCCGTGCTAAGGAAGAACGCCGTATGAACATCCGAGAGTTGCCCAATTTCCTCCTCAAAAATGTATATTTTTGAGGAAAGATATGAATATTTTTCCCTGAAATTTTCAGGGACTTTAGGCAAAATTGCGAACAAAATTATCTGAAAAATTGGCAGAAAACTATTCAAAAATTTGCCTGAAAATTGGTGATTTGCCGGAGGAAATTTGGCAACGTCCGATGGCTCATACGGCGTTCTTCCCTAGCACGGCAGTATATAGAGCCGTAAAATCCAAATTAATATGAGTGCAAAGTGAAATTAGCATCAATAAAGCGTATAACTCTCCGCAAAAAGAGTAGACTCCGCTCCGCAATAGTGAAAGTTACTCCCGAGAATAGACTCCACTCAGCATGTATTTTACTCGGGGTTTTTGAGTACTAGAGTCCCTTTATACCCAGAGTTAAGACAACTCACTTTTGGTTCGGCTGAAAGTGGCCTAAAAAAAAATCCAATTCTGATTGGTTCTCGCTCATGGAGGCCGAAACGAGTGCACCAAGATGGCGGTACCTCGAATGTGAACAAGAATAATGAAAATATCACCTAATTGTGGTTTATCAAGAGTAAATTGTCATTTCCATCGGTCCAAAATGAAAAGAGATTAAGAAATTACTCACAAACCAATCTCATTTTCTTTTTAATTGATCAATTTGTTGATGTTGTTGTTTTTGTGTGACAGACATCGCAGGATTCCTGATCCTTACCCCTCAATATCGTGCGTTTGGGTGCACTCGTTTCGGCCTCCATGGCCAGCCAAGGCCGGCTGCCAGTCAGCTGATAATCGAGTTGTCTTAACTCTGGGTATAAAGGGACTCTATTGAGTACTATGTAGACAAATGTTTCAATTGATACTGCCGCGCTGCGGAAGAACGCCGTATGAAACTCCAGTAAATATTTTCTTCCGGTTTCTCAGAACTCAGTTCGCAATTTGATCCCATGTTCGTGGAAATGTCAAGGGAAACTATTCGCAACTTTCCTTTAAAAAGAAAAAAGCGAGGAAAAAGTACGAGAAGCAATGTGGCAGCATTCGAATGCTCATGCGACGTTTTTCCTCAGCATGACTTCATTTTCCATTCGTCCTCATATTCTATCGCTTTGTTTATCAATTTCAATCACACACGAAAAAAGGGAGGTGTTTGCATCTTGGCGTTTTTTGATGGCGCTAGTCGGTACGAATGAGTTTTATCATCAATTTTCTTGGAAATGGTGTAGTTTATGGGAAAAAGTCATACTGTACACAGTGTTTGAAATTATATAGTGAGTTGATTTAAGCAAAAAAATCGGACGTTATGGTCCGTTTCTCATACTTCGAATTCCGGATTTTGCGCTGGCCAGTAGTCTGATTGTTGAAGTTTTGTGTTTGTCGGGTAGACATATTTGACATAGGTTAAAATGCAGAGCGTGATTGGTTGGATATGTCTTATCGCTGCTTTATCGTGCTTATGTCGGGTGGAACTCTCGACAAGCCAAAGGCACCTCTTAAGTTTCCGACTGTATGTCGTCCACTTCACCTAACAAAGGCACGGCAAGGCAGCGATGAGACATAGCCGACCAATCACGCCCCGCCTTTTAACCTATGTCATCTCTATGTCTACCCGACAAACACAACATTCCAACAATCAGGCTGCAGGTTGTACCGACCTACGTCACAGGGTAAACAATCCTCGAGGTGCAAACGCTTCCTTTATATCTCTATGATCCCATCCCATCCCATCCCACCTATAATAGTTACCGGATCTATGTCAGCAATTCTTTCGTTCACGATAACTATCGTTAGATTTACGTTAGCTGTCTCAAATTTTGTAAATTTGTCCATTTTGATCTGATGAAGAACTGTATAGATTTTCGGTTAAATCGCATTTACCGTTTACTTATAAACGGTAATTAACGTAAGTGCCCTACTTACGCTGTTTTCCACTAAACTGTTTTTATGAAAGTACCATTCCTTGGTTTCCTTGGTAACCTTTGTTTGCTATCAGCTGATGTTTTATTTCCATTTCTCGGCCAAGTCAACGGATTTTATACTTCTTTTTAGTGCAAGATCAAGACTAGTTTTCAATAATCAGCCGACAGGTACGAATCTGAGATGCTCGAGACTCTCCCTAGTTCGAATTTTCGCGGTCGCGCTTATCTGGATTTCGGCGGGAAAACTCGCGTCGGTCCCTGGCGGATGAAGGGTAACACCTGCGAGTGGGTGGCGAACGGGGACGAGGAGGGTGCCTCGTGTCGAAACTAGATTAAGTGTAATGTGGAGTAATTCGATTAGAATCCTCGGGAACACGACAAGGGTGGCCCAAGCTGGTTCAGTCAGCGATCCGACGTCCGAGTCGCACCCACCCTTCCCGCGGCGCGCGCGTCCGCGCTTCCACCCCCGCCTCGCCTTTCGGCTGCATTTCCGCCGCAGGTACGAATCCCTTCAGGAGTGTGCTAATCCTAGTTATTTCATATCGTCCGTCTCGCGGAAAAGAATGTGTGAACCGAGTTTATCAGGAAGAAGCCAACTCATCCGTCAAGAGATCACTGGAAAAAAAAAAAAAAAAAAAAAAAAAAAAAAAAAAAAAAACACATTGGATCTAGAGTCCAGACGCTTGAAAACATTGACAAGAAAAAGGACTCTTGATTCTATAGATTTAAGTTTAAATCAAGAACCAAACCTCTTAATTTGAGCGGATTTCCTTTTGATTTAAGCTTAAATCTGATTGAATCAAGATTATTTTTTCTTGTCGATGTTTTTAAGAGTCTGGACTCTAGATCCTATGTGTTTTTTTTCCAGTGATGGAGATACCAGCTTCCGGAGGATCTCTACCACAACAGATTCCTGTGGCGGGTAGGCGTCACAGAGCGCCCTAGTGCGCTAAAAGCGACTGACACATACATCCCAACCCACATTTTCGAAAAAACTGAGTTAAGAATGTTTATGAGTTCCACTAGCCGCCCATTCTCTCCTGCCAAAAACTGAGACTCAAAAAACAGAGATTAGTTTGTGAAAAGAAGGGCAAAAGTTTATTTTCTACATTGAGCCTTGGGCATGAATAAAACTTCAAATCTCTTTTCCTCAGTTTTAACTTAATGTGGCTTAGTTCCTTTCTGATGAACTCGGTCCAAATCGTCCCCTATGAAAGAGAATATGTGACGTGACGCATCAGGGAAACATTAGATAACTAAACCAAAGCTTAGAAGAATTCAAGGCCACGAAGGACAAGTGGGATTAATGCAGTTTTTGAAAAGAATGACATATTAGTGATTTCAAGTAAAAGTAGTCTTTAAATATATTCTGTGAAAAATTCACCACAAAAATCCAATTTTCAAGCATCTAAGTGAGTTTGAACTTTCTCTTCGCCACACTGCCATGCCTGCTAAGGAAGAACACCGTATAAGTCTTTGGACGGTGCAAAATTTATTTTGATAAAATGTAGACTTTCAGGGAAATCTGTAATTATTTTTATTCGAATTTTTCCAAGAATAATATTTGCCATCGGATCTAAATGATCCGAAAATATCAGAGAGATTATCTATGACTCCACTCAATACTAAAAATTTTTGAAGAGGAAATGTGACAGCATTCGCAATTTTATGCGACGTTTTTCCTCTACACGTTAGCTTAAGGCTTCAATTGTGAAACTTTAAACCCTTATTTTTTGAAATAGCTAAAAACCGCACTTATCCTACTCGACCTCAAAACCCCTCAAGGTTCAAGATTCAAGATATTTATTGCATCGATTAAAACACATAGAATGTTGTGATACAATTACAATGGCTTAAGATTGAAACTATAAATAGGCACAAAAACCTAAAATTATAGGGAAAAGAAACACGAGATAAAAAATTATAGAAACTACAGACTTAAGTAATTCAATTAGAAACCATCAACATCATAGATACACTTGGGTACAAGGAATTCAAATAGGTGGTGCTTAAAACTGCTACTTTTTGTACTTTTTATAATTTCATTAGGTAATTTGTCAAAAAGTTTAATACCTGTATTTAAAAAGGATTTCTGAGAAAAGGTATTCTCACTTCTCAATACACTCAGCTTATTTATATTTCTTGTGAGATAATCGTGTACATCGGATTGTTTCTGATATAGTCGGATTGAGAAGTAAATACATACAAACAGGTATGAAAGATGTAAAATGAGGGGACTGTAAGAAGTTTTCTCATGGCAAATAAATTCTTGACAAATAAATTTATGAAAATCACTCGATGAAACGGTTCTAAACGGAATCATTTAAACTACATAAACCGTTGCCTGGTTTCCTTTCATGATTTATTCCTTCAATAAAGAAGTTTTAATCATTCTCTCTTGAAAGTTCGTAAGTACATTCTTCATAAGCCAGGGGAGGAGTTTTACGAAATTATGTAGTGAGGTTCTGTCGTGGGTGTCTCAAAAATAGATCTTAAGAAACATTAGGCAACATCAAATGCATTTGAGCTATTTTCGGTTGAATTCATCCACTTTTGCATCATCTGCCATAAAAAAATACCAACAAAATACAAAAATGGACCCCTCCGTAGAAATGCAAAGTTTCAGGACTGGAGACGAGGAATTTGAGAAACGCGCTATTGAAGTTTACCCTGTGTCTGTGCGTTAAAGTGCTGTTGCAAATTTAGAGGCCAACAAATCGCGCGAATGTATAAAGATAAGTTCTTCCTTCGGTGGATTTGACCCTTATGTGATTCGTTACGCTGTGATACCGGTGATTGTGACCATTACTCCACTAAACTGTTTGAATCTGTTCATGGGTACGAAAATTGTGGGATCGACGGGAGGTTGGCAAAATTGCCGTGCTATGGAAAAACGCCGTACGGACATTAGAGAGTTGCCAAATTCCTCTTGATAAAACATGTATTTTTGACGACATTCGGGCATATTTTTCCTGGAAATTTTTAGATAAATTAAATTAAATTGAATGCAAAATTATCTGAAAATTTTGGAAAAAAATATTCACAATTTTCCTAATAAATTCGGCTTTTATCGAAGGAAACTTGGCACCGTCTGAAGGCTCATACGGCGTTCTTCCTTAGCACGGCAGTAAAGACTAGAAAGTCGAGGGTGAATACGAGGGGTGAAAGTGGCAAGAAGAGGGACACTACGGCCGGAGGGGTAGTCGGAGGGTGAAGCAGATGAAATGCACCACCGAACTCGGGCTTAAGTGTTTCACCTGAGTCGATACGACTGCAGGAATTCCGTACCTCTAGTGTCCTCATATCATAAAACCCATTTAAATCAACTACTCGTGAAGCTAGGATAGAAGTCCCCCTATGCTCCAAGCGCGTTCTGATGAAAGTCGATTGGTGCTTGAACGAAATTCAAATTAGTCACTGCACTCCTCTGCCGTGCTAAGGAAAAACGCCGTATGGACATTCGAGAGTTGCCAAATTTTCTTTGATAAAACGTTTATTTTTGAGGGAAGTTATGAATATTTTTCCTTGAAATTTTCAGGAACTTCAGGTGAATTGGCGAACAAAATTATATAAAAAATTGGATTAAAAATATTGGCCAAATTTTCCGAGAATTCGTGATTTACCAAAAGAAATTTGGCAACGCCTGAAGGTTCATACGGCGTTCTTCCTTGGCACGGCAGTCTTACTCTCGCGACAGTGCTGCCATGCTAAGGGAAAAACGTCGTATGAACCTTCAGGCGTCGCAAAATTTCCTTCAATAAAATGCGAATTGCCTGGTGAACTTTTAATACTTTTCTTCCAATTTCCAGGTATTTTTCCCCCGCAATTTCATATACAGTTCCTAAAAATTTCAAGGAAAAATATGAATGACTCTCTTGGAAATTAATCACCTTATCGAACGAAATTTGACAACCCTCAAATGTTTATACGGCGTTTTTTCTTAGCACGGCAGAGTGTGTGTCTAGTTAGTACTCTCGGAAGGATGAGCAAAGTAGAGATTCCAGCTCCTTTCTTTTGCTTTTAAAGGGGTTGAGAATGCAGTTTATTCTTCAGCAAGCACTCACATGTTATGTTCAAATAATTCTATGATTACTTGAAATGAAATCGGGATATTAGAGATGCTTTCAACTTTATGATTGTGAAAAATAAAATTAAAAGTAATGAAAATTGAATCCTGGTTGAATTTACGATTGTTGATTATATGCCTCGCCCCTCGCGTAATCATGCAGAAGTAAATAAGGGGTTGTATTAAAGCATGCGTGTTGTAAAAGATGTCCACCTAAAAGGTGGAAAGATGACATCCAAAAAGAAATGAAGGGATGCCAGCTTTCAGAAAATCTCTCTATCTTGACAAATTCCAACAGCGTGGCTTAATGCGCTATAAAAGTGACTACATACATTGAATGAGGGGCTTGGAGGACAAGGCGCATTTAAGTGCAGTTTTTGCTAGAAATAAGTGTTTAAAGTCTCAAAATTCGTGGAGCCTTACTTACAAACTTACTTTTTGATGCTTTAAATTTGGATTTTAGTTGTGAATTTTTCGCTGAATATACCTACATTCAAACTAATTTTAGCCAAGTTCATGAATATCTCAATTTTTTCAAAAACTGAACTTATGCGCCTTGTCCTCCAAACCCCTCAAATCATAAATCAGTTGATAAGTTTGCACAGAATAGGTTACTAAGAATTGTAGCCCTAAAGGGATCAGCGCATATGGTTACAGCATAAACTTTCAAACTGTGCGAATAATTCACGTAAAAAGGTTCAGAAAAAAGCTGGAAGAAAAATGTTTGCAAACTCTTTAAACAAATTGCATTGATGCAAACCTTCGTGGCACATGCAAATTATACATAACATAAACAAAATCCAATGTGAATTATTTGTTAGTACGAACAGATTTTGATTTCACGCTTGATTTGATCTAATTACTTAGCAATTTATGCTGTAAGAGCAGGAAAACAACACGAAGATAAAATGTCAATCGTATTAATAGTACCTACTTGTTATGAGTCAATTACGCTCTTAAAAATGATTGTTGGGCCTCTTGAAACGCACGAGCAGCACTTTAATCAACATTGACAGGCCTACACTGCTTATTCAAATATATGTGTACTTAGGAGCTGATGAGGAGACTTAAAAACTCAAGCAAAAGAAACGGGAATAATGTTCAATTGCAAGAGTGAAAGCATTTCACACAATGATTGAAAGCAAGGACAGCATTAATAGTAGTAGTAAAGCGCGGAGGAGGGAAGAAGGAGAGAAACGGTGTAAGGGAAAGCAGCAGTAACATATCATCCCCTATGGCTAAACTTCAAAAACTCGTATCTCTATATATAGATTTTTTAAAATTAAAATCAACCGACACAAAAATCATCATCGGGGCTACGCATTTATTTTGCAGTTTTCAGTGTAGCACTACAAACCAGTAACGAAAAAATAACAAGCAAATGTAAGACTTACATAAAGAACAGTGACGTGGCGTGAATTGCGATGTATCGA